TAACAATAATTGTGTCTAAATTACAATAAATACTTAACAGTAATACAGAAATACACGAACATAATGAATGTCGGTAAATACTCCATGAAACCGATTCCAAAATTACATAACCATAAAAATGCAATGAATCAATCGTTGCATATCCATAAGCCTATTTCATCAAAGAACGCCCCAGGTCAAACATAGCTTTAAAAATCCCATTACAAACAAATATATCATGGCGTTGAACTCAATTTCTTTTGATATGCTCTCCGCTACTCCGAAGGGAGTCTATGCCCTCTTATTACATTTCACTTCATCTAATAATGATCTAGACGAATCTTTCGTGGAAACGAACCTCCGTTAAAGGTATGTTGCAAATCGTAAAACAGCAACAATTTTCGTCCAGTACTGTCTTTGTCGTAGTGATCACAACTGAAGGTATACATCGAGATAAAATAAACTTATAAATATTATTTTGGCCTTTTGCGTTTGATCACAAAGTTCAATATCGAATTCCACGAAAAGGCAAAAATCTTCATTCTGCCGATTTAAAAACTTATTTACAAATATGTATATCATGGCCTTAAATGTCAACTTAGATATAGAGAAATGCGATCTATCGAAATCAGCTCTCCTGAGAGTACGGTAGATACCAAAATACGTTCGGCAACACTAGTGTCATTTTTCAAATATCTTGATACTAGGAAGTAGCTGTGTAATAGCAAATCTTTGACCGTTTTGCTCCACAGCAGGTGAAAAAATATGCTTCTACAAAGAAGCTTGAAGTATCATAGCCCATATAAACTTTACTTGCAGTTACCTTTTCGACAGCAAAAAGAAAATAAGGTTTAATGGACAAAATAAGGGTCTTATGAGACAAATAGACAGACTGTACAAAAGACACACAAGTGAATAGCACATTTTAATAATTTAAAGCTAGACACAGTAGAGCCAATCAATTAATTAAAATGCATCATACAGTTGTTTCGTCCTTCAAGGACTCGTCAATGATGCTAATGTTCTAATTTTTGAAGCCTGGGAAAACTAGTCAAAATCAGTCATAAATACTACTGTTTTTTACCAGTGTCTTCGGACTCGTGGAGGCATCCTCAATACTCCAGGGGTTACTATCAATTTCGCTCACTGCACCCCTAGATCATTTCATAACTAAATTGAAAGTTCCATGTGCGAAACCTCTTGGGTAAACGAGAAAGGCTAGTTTGAATCTTTGGTGTCCATCAAACAAATATCATAGTCGCATAATAGTATATTGTATTGGCTTTGAAGTTGGGTATCGCTCCTTTGTAAATGAGCTCCTCTTAAAGGGAGCGTATACGTGTGTGATTGATTCTTTTTCTCTCGATACCTTCTTTAAACCAATCAAATTACCTCCCTTCAATTTGCCAAGAAATGTTCCAGTGATGCAGAAAAAGAAATGATCGTAAGCCCTAAAGGATCGAGGATGAGGCAATTCAAATTTGATCGCTGGTCTTTCGGACATGCGAGTCAGCGAATTTTCCTCTTGAAATTAATCCAACATCAATTACACAAGTAATAAACCAGACATAAATTAATTTTTCAAGAAAACAATGGGAAAATATCAATTTCCCTTTCATCGTTGACAAATAAAGACGGAATACATTTAGACATTCTATAATTTATTGTAGATATATGATTCAAATAGATGTGGCATACCTTAATTCATCAATATACAAAAATTGTTCGATGTGTATAACTTCAAAATACTAACAAACATAAAAATATATGGAAGGCACACCTGTAATTGTAAAACATGAAATGTGTACGATATTATGAAAAATCTATATTATATGTATTACTACTGAAACCTATTCAGAATAAATGTACATTTGTTTGATCATATTCTCATTCCTGGTCTATTAAACATTATAAACTAATCACTGGATATAGTGCAACTGGGACAGGGCACCCCAACAATCCATTTCACACTATATATATATATATATACGAATTAATGAAACATGCAAGATTTTTAATATTTTTAATTAGCAATAAATTATGCTAAACTGTAGCTCTATAAAGCTGTATAATGATATAATGGCACAGTCCGATTCAAATTGCAAAATTCATTCATAAGAAAATAAATTGAACACTTCATTAACAAGTACTTAGTACATTACAAGTATAAACTGAAACATATTTTGAACGATTGAAACATTTCTACCATTCCAACTCCAGCTAGTGCCCTATACTGCAGGATTTTTTATCATCATTGCTAACACTATTTCACATTATAAAATTATGTGCCTCTAACTGGCCTATTTAATCTCATATATCGGTATACAAAAAATAGAACAAGGAGGATTCCACCATTCCAATGTTTGATACTAACCATTACATTTTTTCCAAACATCAATGTTTTAATCAAATGTACTTGAAATAAACACTTACGGAACTTCATTTTACATAATTACATCTTCCATTAGAACTGAAGTGAGACCGACTTAACAAAATACTTTACAGTATTATTACATGAAATTAATCACTTCCTACAGAGGTATAATGACACAGTAATAGTTCATTGTGAGGGTCATTTCATTAAAGAAGAAAAACTTAAACATGTACAGATAATGCATCAAATTAATGTCCGTTATTGTTGTGTACCATTCTCTAACTTTAAATATGTTCCCTGAACGTTTCCTAATACTATAATAAAATTTAACCTGAAAATAAATCGCAAAATAATATGTACGATTAGACTGAAGTCCATCAGCACTGTTTACCACATGCAATCAATTGTATAAACAACACACAAGTGAAGAGCGCATTTCAATATGGATTTAGAATTAGATTCAGCTGTGCAAGGTAAACTGCATCCTACTGCTGTTTCGTCCTTCTAGGTCACAATTGTGCTAAGGGCCAAAATTTAAAAACTTTTGAGGTGACTGAGGAAAACCAAGTGATCTCTGTCAGATTCAGGTTTTTTTTCTATAATTATTTCCAAAGCAAATAGCACCGGTTACCTCAAGTATTAAGTTGACGTTGACGTTGAAAAATAAGTTTCATATTTTATCTATCTTTGCTTTTGTTTATGTCATATTTCAAAACTCTGAAGCCATAAACTACAGTGCTTAATCTAAAAAAACCTCTTTTTTGTCTTTGTTTATGGAATATTTTCTACTTTAGTTTGGGAAGCAAAGTACTACAACATAATGATCAACTTTATGTAATATCAATTAAATATGTGCAGAAATACATATACAAGTAATTTTTGCCTTTGTCTGCTGAGTATTTTCTAATTTTAGTTTGGAAAATGAAGAACAATCAAATAATTAAATAATATGTTACATTGAAAAATGTGGTAAATACATATACACATTTATATGTATCCAAAGTATAACAATATACATACACAGGAGAGATGTAAATAATGCATGATAGATTGTGATCCATCCTACTTAAAAAAAATGTGCACCTACCAATTATTTGTGTTCTAGTGTAATAACATCTAACTTCAATATGTTACTAACATTCCTCTCCAAACAAAAAAAAAACATGTACAACAACCAAAAAAGTTAGAAAGAGATATATGTCAGAACTGTTAAATTCGTAGAAATTACCCTGAAACATCAAAGTAAAATAAATAATCCTGACAACAGGTAATTTGTCTGATTTCTGACAAATTATTCTTAGAACAAAAAGCCAGAATGTTTTATGCATAATATAAATATTTATACAATGTGTATATTACTTGGTTATTTTTTAGGACATAATTGTTGTAAGCAGAATAAAAACAGCTTAGAGATATATAACAATATATTAAAAATAAAATAACACTGAAACTTATATGAAGCAATTTACATGCAACAGATTAAATATACATAAATATAAAACTTGACTGCAGTTTTTACCTACCATAAAAATACACATATTGTTCATGACCAATGCAGTATGGTGCAAAATATAGAAATGCCAAAGTAACATTGACAGAAACTTTCCTCTGGTTAAGGTGTTTACAACATACAAAATTTTCGGACAAAATCACTGTTCTAAGTAACATTGACGGAAACTTTCCTCTGGTTAAGGTGTTTACAACATACAAAATTTTCGGACAAAATCACTTTTCTATTCCTCACCACTGCATTTGCAAACATTGCATGCCAGTGCACATGTCAAATTATCAGCCTTCCTGTTAAGATACTGACTTGGTTTATGATAGTCTTCAGTTAAAATGGCAAGTGTACGAGGTGAGTGGTGTATTACGGTGCTGCGGATTACAGGTGAGTGGTGTATTACAGGTGAATGGTGTATTACGGTGCAGCTGATTACAGGTGCGTGGTGTGTTACAGGCGAGTGGTGTATTACGGTGCTGCTGATTACAGGTGAGTGGTGTATTACGGTGCTGCGGATTACAGGTGAGTGGTGTATTACAGGTGAGTGGTGTATTACGGTGCTGCTGATTACAGGTGAGTGGTGTATTACAGGTGAGTGGTGTGTTACAGGTGAGTGGTGTATTACGGTGCTGCGGATTACAGGCGAGTGGTGTATTACAGGTGAGTGGTGTATTACGGTGCTGCGGATTACAGGTGAGTGGTGTATTACAGGTGAGTGGTGTATTACAGGTGAGTGGTGTATTACGGTGCTGCTGATTACAGGTGAGTGGTGTATTACAGGTGAGTGGTATATTACGGTGCTGTTGTTTACCTTACACATAACATGTTACATTTCATGAATTGGATATTTCACTTTTTCAAGTGTGCTCAATGGCATACCAAATACTGTAATAGCATTTGTCAATCCAAATTCTTTAATATTTCACAATTAAAATGTTATGATTTTCTTCCTCATTTACACAGTGAACACATCTTTTTTTTTTTTGATAGTTTGCGTAATAACACCAATAACCACAAACGAATGAAGACTAAGCATCACGTTACGATATCTGATGTACAATTGGTTTGAAGAAAATGTTTCAAACTTAATTTTGTACACTGGCATAGTTGCCAGCATTTTGTTTGTGGTTTGCGATAAATTTCTACAAGACCAGTTTCATAATAACTCTAAATTGTACAGCTGGAAAGACTTTTTTACTGTTACAGTTTGAGAGCTGACATTGAACTCTGTACAAACAGGATTCCTCTGATTTTCAGGAATATTTTACGATGGAAACTATTAAATCACTATTTGTGAATCCCCCTTCCCCTAACAATTTGAATGCCACAATTAGTACAGCCATTATCACCTTTCATTTAAGTTGGTCTGTCCTAGATGTAAGGCTAGATAGAATTTTGAAGTGTGTCCTCACAGAATCAGAATTTTTTCCACACTATTTAAATAAAATTTTGTATTTTTTAACATTATAAATTAACCTCGTTTTTCATTACATCAAATCATCATGATTACATCAAATTTATTATGACGCTTATTGTATAATAGTTTTACCATGCTGTTTGGGATATTATAATATTACCATGACCTTTAACATGTAATGACCCTGGCTGTTAATACTACACAAAGCAATTATAGACATAACTAAACATGTCACAGTTTTACTTGGATGTTTGAGATATTAAAATTTACCATGTTCTTTAACATACAGTTTGACTGACTAAGGTTTACAATGCCTGTGTCATTGATAAAGCAGAAGATGCTTACTCTTCCTGAACACCTGGTACTATTTCAGGAGTCTTCATGTAAATTTTTCTTTTGTTCACATTTTACCCTAGTTTTATTTTTTTACAATGTTGCTTGGGATATTACACTTTTGCCTTATTGTTTATATCATAATTTCACCATTTTTTGTAATGTATTGAATCATTATAATTTTACCAGGCTGTTTATGTTATATAAAGTTAAAAGCACTTTATAATGTAACTACCTAAGGTTACTTACTAAGAATTCATATAGAGTTAATACTATCATGATACTATGATGATAATAAAATGGGTATGTGTTGCTGAAAAGTTCTTTGACCTGTAATGACCTGTGATGTTTATAATTTGGTGTTGAAGGCATCGTTAAGAAGTCTCATTACATTAAACTATGCATACAGATATACATATAACACATATACTCTGTATACAGACATATACATATTCTTACAAAATGTGAAACTGACAATAATTGCAAGTAATGTGATACCATGTTACTTCTCAACAATAAAAAATTATACACAAAATGTAAATGTGGGCTGCCAAACTTTAAAAAACAAACGGTATAACTTATGAATAAATAAATAACGAAATATCCTCATGATGTAATGGTTAAGTTTAAGGTAGAATCTTGTTTTCTTTTCCTATTTACTATTTCATTAAGAAATTTATCTTATTTCTTCTATATATAATAAATGCATGACATGTATCCATGGTAATCATTTCAAAATGTTGTAACTCTACTAAAAATGTCTGGGCCTTTACCTGAGGTGATCTTGTTTTCAGACAAAGCCATTTTAAAACCCTATTCAATCTTACAACACATATGATCACTCTAACTTTGAAATTCAGACAGTGGTCTTTCTCTCTAGCAAATTTTAACTCTGCTTTCAGAAGCAGCTCAATATATATCAATCTAAGTTTTCCAGACTTCACAAGATTTTATTTGTCTTTTCCAGACCAGCACACCAGAATTTACAATGGGCACACAGGCATTGTTGCCAAGGGAACCAAAGTTGTTTTGCCAATACATCCTATTCAATTAGCACTCTTTTTCATTTTTAATGATAGGATCCCCTTTCAAACTGGCCACGAGGATCATGGTTAATACGAACATCTTGCTGTCGAAAGTCTGGTGGATACCAAGAATCTCTTCCTCCTGGGGCTCCATACTCTCTTTTCTCTCTATCTGGTTGTTCCATAGAGTCCCTGTTAATAGGGGGACCATAGTCTCTTGGATCCTTTTTAGAGGTGGGGCCATGTTCCCTGAGGTCCCTACCTGGAAAAGAACTGTGATTCCTCGATTCTCTTGAGTCTCTGCTATGATCTCTCATATCTTTACTACTAGATCCAATTTCTCTTGAATCTTTAACAGGCAGTCCAGCTTTATCTCTGATGTTGTGATTGTCTCTTGAGTCCTGATTGAGAACTCTTGGATCTTGACTACTGTTTGATTCCCTAGTGAGACTGGATTCCCTTGACTGTGGTACATGATCTCTGCCCTCTCTTGTGCCACTGCCATCACGTCGATCCTGAATATTTTGCATTCGTTCTCGTGAATCCCTGTTTGCAACTCTCTCTCTTTGATATCGTGGGTCAGAATACTTACTGGCCTGTGATCCTCTTGATCCATGTGAATCCCGGGAATCATTCAGATTCCTAGAGTCGGTGTAATTCCTTCTGTCTGGTTTATTGTGTTTAGGATCATGGTACATCTTGTGTGGCCCAGATGGTGGAATTCTGTCAGTGTTTGAATGGAAAGGAACTTGACTGGCATGGAACATGTGTGGTGATGGTTGATGAGAACGTTCAAGGTGATGCTGGTATGGAGGAAGGGGTCGGTCATGAAGTTTTGTAGGTGGAGGTGGGGGTGGAGGAGGCTGATACTGTTGGGGGCGAGGCACAGCCTGGGCATGGACAGTGTGAGTAGTACCAGGGTAGGGCACAGTGTCAAACCCATCCTGGGGACTGTGATAAGTGGGAAATTGCTTAGGTGAACTGCTGACTGCCCGATCAAACCCTGCCGGTATGTAGGGTGGGGCTGATTGAGGTGGAGTGAAGTCTGGTGACGGTAAAACTTGGATGTGAGATGGAGGAGGTGGTGTCGAAGCATGTGTAGATGGAGGGGACCTGACATGAGGTGGAGGTTTGGACTGGGACATTGGTAATGAGGATGGAGGTTTTGGGGGTTGTCGGTGGCTAGGGGGAAGTGGAGGGGGATTTGTTGTCTGCCTTGGAGGAAGGTTTTCATACACATGTTGTTGGGTCTGATTTGTGTCTTGATCTGATGCTCGGTCAGACCCCACATCCCCCAGTTTTCTCCAAACAACCTGCAAACAGCAACACCTTATATCAAAAGAATGACAAATAGATTAAAACAATTTTTTAACATCGCTGGAATAAATATCAAAAATCATCCAAACCATTTTACTTTTTAAAGATAATTTCCTTCAGTTTATAGAGGTAAGAGGTGATATTTAAGCTTAGTATTTTTAAACCCAGAAAAAATTCAAGCTCAATGTTTGTAAATTATTAGCATATAACACAATTTATTCAATAAATTAAGTTACATCACTTATTTATTAATCAACCTCACAAACTTCAAACATACATTACAGACTATTATCTTGCTTGAACGATATCTACTTACATTACACATCTCCCTGACGATTGCCTTCTCTGAATCTCCCAAGTTCTCCTCCCCAACATCAGTCTGGGGCCTCTCCAACTGCTCATGTACCTCCAACACCTTGACAAAAGTATATACTCTTACTTATTCCACTTGGAAAAATCATCTGATTGACAATAACACCACAATGTGACTCCACCAATTTGGTTATTTCCTTCAAAAATTCAATATTAAAGACAATATATTTGATAATAAATTTGGGGAACAGGCATCAACTTTCCATACAATCCCAATTTTCAAAAAGTATAATTCTTTAATGTATATGTGTGAAACCTTAATTTTGACTCAGCCAAAATTGATATTTCTGTCCCTGAACCAGACAAATCAAAGTCAGTCAAAATTATACCAAACAAGTCACAAACACTTTTAGCCTGCTGTCAGTATACTATGAATGGGTGTGCTACTGAGTTTAGGTTATGATATTTCAGTATGATAGCACTATGAAAATAGTCTTGAGTGGCCTCATTTTGTCTGTCCAACTACATACCATTACCATATGACCTTGATAAGCTATTAAATGAGAACATCCCCTCATGAGGGGGTTGGGGAGGGAATTATTGTTGTTTTTCAAAAACATGATGTGTGCTATACAAAAGAACAAAGCATATTCATGAAAATTCATTCTCACACCTGGGTTCATATCTAAGCCAATGGCAATGACTTCTCATATCAAGGACAATTTGTGTATGATGTTGTCAAAGAAATAAGAACCACAAAGAATTAAAAACATCTTTCAAAGCTTAATAAACTTCATCTCAATTAATTATGGAACGTTGTAAATTAGTCATGGCAAACAACCTGAACACTGCAGTTATTCATGTAAACATAAGCAACATTTCTGTTGTAAAATTGTAGCACTGCATGACATGGTCAGTAAATAAATGTCCATTCTGGTAAACAATAAAAATGATATTTGAGATCTCCCAAACTGTTTAAACCTACTGACAAAGCTAGATACTCACAGTTTGTGATGGCCCATTCTGTTTTTGGAAACACTAAACTTACACAGCAGTAGGTTTGCCGTATGATTGCTTGATCAGAAAAATGTGTATTGGATGGTATGGAGTAGGAATAAACAAAAGCTAACATTTTTTAAACATCTCCTCTGCGTTAGGCACTGATGTAGAAACTAACAACACACAACTGTCTCAAAATCAAACAAAAGGCTTTCTGAATCTTTGAGTTAGCAGATTCATCTTGTCAAACAACTGACATGTACCTGTAGGATATCTATTGCCTATATATGCTGGCTAATTTCCTTATCCTGAAAGGTGTTACTATGACTTACCTTCATGGCTCTGACCACAGCCTCTGGTTTCGTCGGACTCTCAGATAACCTTGACCCTTTGACCTGTGAAGGATTGTTGTTGTAGCCTTCAAACAAATTCCCCATTGGTGCAGTTCTCTGTTTGGAAGGACTTGGACTCTGGTTGTAAGAGAACTTCATTTAAATATGCACAAGTAAAACATTATATACTTCATTATCATGTATCATATCAATATGATTTCAACAAATGCAATTAAAATACTTTGATTCTACCAAAAAACTAAATGTTCAAAGCAAATACAGTGCTTTGTATTTTTCTTGATTTAATACTGAAAGCAATTAATATTTGGCTATTGGGTGTTGTCTTTGTAGAATTATCAGTTTTCTAAACATTAAATCCCTCATAATCTGGTTAGACAGGAGCCACATGTACAAACAGATGTTCATTGTGGTAACCTTAACTTTCAGACGTTAGGGTATATATAGCACTAGGTATGTTGTTGTCAAAAGTGAATAGCAAAAATGCTGCTTTTCTCCATTCACCTTGTCCGATCTGTGATCTTTAGGTACTGATGGAGATTTTTTATCTGTTGCTCTATATCCATCTCCGCCATTTCTTTCTGCTCTCTGTTCAAATGCAAAATACAAATTAAGCAGCTTGATCATGCATTTTACACTAAAATTAACTCATAATAAAATGTTATATGCATCCTTGTTCACATCAACAAACAATTATTTTAGTTTTGAGTTAATCATTCCACAGATCTGCATTATATAGTCACAAGTATAAAAGATAATATATTTGATTATAGAATTACACACCTGTGCTAACTGTGTCTTTTCCTCTTCCAATACTTTGACTTTTTCTTCTAGTTGTTGTACATAATTGTGACCTGTAACATTGATATCATTTGCAATTGATATAAAAGAATACATCTACGTAGTGATCAATGATTTGAGTAGGATTTCTGCAGGTGAGCATAGGACACCATTTCTAAACTTTTTAGGAGTCCTACTACTAAGAGATATAGTGGGATCTCCAAATTTGAGTGAATCCCACAAGAAAATCATGAATCTAGGACTCAGATATCCGAATTTCAGAAATTGCTGCTTATGTAGTTAGTTAAATAGAGTAAATAAAATATATTGCAGATATACAGACTAAATGAAAGAAAAGAAAACTTAAAGACATCAATCAATAAGTTTTTTTAATATATGCATCAAAAATTTAAACTATATGTGCATCCAATGGAGCAAGGCCAATATACAGTGCTGTAATTTTATCACCAGAATAAATGATGTTATATATTAAACTATGGTATATCCTGTACATAAATAGTATGAAATATATAGTAAGTGTACAGTTGACTAGATAATGTAGTAGATGCTAATTGAAAATTTTGCTAGAAAATTTTTATCCTTAATCTAAATCTTAATGCATAACTTTTTGCATTGTGAGCTGAATCTGTTCCTATTTTAAAGTCACACCAAACCTTTAGCGCAGATGAGAAAATATGAATTTGAGTGAATTTTAAAGATATAATCAACCAACACTGACCAATAATGACAGATAATATTTATTTTTAAAATATCAGCTACATGGAAATTAATTAGTGAAACTCGAAATTTCAAAATCAGCATTTTAGTTTTTTTTTTTAAATTTATCCTGGGTTAGAAAACTAACATTCAACAGTGCTAATCAGTACCAATCCTTATAATGTAATATTATTCTAGTTGAGATATCTAGAGATAAATCTAGGTAACAATTTACCATTGGAACTTTCAGGAGCACTTTGATTTGAAGAGTTGATTGTCATCTGAGGAGAAGTCTCATCACCACCTGCTGTAGTACTGTTGCTGCTCCCATCACCATCATCTCGTACATGGGATGGTCCCAATCTCTCTTGGTCTAGGTATAAACATAGCTCTTTCAGGTCTGCATTATCAGAGATCAATTCCTCTTGTTTCATTTCTAAGTCTTTCAGCTTTTCCTGGTATGCTGCAACTTCACTTCGCATAACACTAGCAGTGTATCTACCAAACCTCTGCCATTCACGTGCAAGTTTACGACCACGTTGCCTGTCATCATCCAGAAAGCAACATAAATCACGCAGTTCTTGATTATCATCTTGCAGTTTTTGATTGATGTCCTTGAGACCCCTTATTTCTAGCACATTTATCTGAATTCTTCTATTCACATCCTTTATAATACTACTGTGTTCTGCCAACATGGATCGTATTTCAGATTCTACATGACGAACAATCCTGACAAGTTCGTCAACACCTCTATGTCGCAGTTCATCATCACTTGATTTGGCAAGTGATACAACTGAAGGGCTGGTGGATAATGCCTTGTAAGGCAGTGGTACAGGTGAAAATGATCCAGACGTGTTCATGGGTATCGGGGTACCCCTCGCACTCCCGGATACTGATGAGGGTAGGGAGGAGGTACTCATTATGCTTTCGAATATGATAACTGTGAAAAGATATCTATCGACAGTAAAAGTTTTGAGAATAAAATGGAGCAACCGTCATCTTATTCCAACACCTACATAAACTGCCAGGGGTCATTCAACAGGTAATGCACACATGTACAGTTTACGTTATCCATTTACCTCCGTCACATAAGCGGCGTTATCAACCGTGCTACGTAAAACAGATTGCCTGTGGGATGTTACAGAAACTACCTGTACTCAGTAGGCCTGCAGTGTAGGCATCCTACAGTAGTGCTAGCAAGCTAATAAAGATGAGTCATATGTACGAATTCACGTTAGTTCTATCCGAAGTGTGTTCATCGTGCAAATATCAATGGGTGTTTATGTTCCATCAATGAGCAGATATCAATTAAGTTGACGTTACATCCTAATAAGTTGAACTTGTTCGACTGAAATCACTTTGTTGATAAATAGAAAATACCTGTCCAAATTCACTAATGGCGGATTGTAATTTCCGGTCCCACGCTAAGGGGTTTCCCCGCCAGGTGGCGCATTTATAATGAACACCTGTTCAACATATTTCCCGCGTAATTTTAAATGACATGAAATGTATTGTTTACTTTTCGCAACAGGGAGGAAAGGTGCAAAAATATCAATAGCGAGGGGAAAAGAATAATCAAATATTGCTGTAATGCTTACTAGATCAAATCTGAGCAAAGAAAATCAACAGTTTTGCAAGACCAACCCAGGTACGCAGACAGAGACGTATATAACACTGTTAGTTGTTTTGATCACTTGTGACTAATAGTCAAGTCTTCTTGGCCACTAAACAAAAACATAAGCTAGAGGACCAACATCAAGACTTACTCATGGTCAAAAATTTATCGGTACACGGCGATCAACTTTTCCCCGATACTCCTGTTCTGATAAAATCCATATTAAAAATATTATAAGTTGTCATATTTTTATTGAGAGGCATATTGATAACATTACAGCAGGGACGTATAAAACAAAATTTATTACACGTCCCCGGTAGAACACGTTTATGGGTAATTCCAGGAAACAAGTGGCATGTTGTTGTACAAATGAAACATTAAGAAGAATCCCTTAGTTTACTGCTTCATTGCATTATTTTAAGATGTATTATATCATTTTCATATAAGAAATTATTAGCAACGACATCCTGGATTTTTTCAAACTTTTGGAGGAGGAGACTTTATCCCCAACCCCTTTCCCCTCTCCGGGGTTGAGAAGATTTTTCAATTTTAAAAAATTTAGCCCTTTCTAATCCTGGATCCGTCCCTGATATGCTCAATAATGCGAATACAGAACATTTTTTACACTGCCTGTTACATACCGTCTCATGTTGGATTTAGCGGGAAGAATCATAGCTCCAAGGGAAACAGCTCTTATATACTAATTTCTGTTTTGTTACGGTAGTGACGACCTTAACCAAGGGACACGTAATAAAAAAAAAGTTCTCTTGATTGTATGAACTTTTAACTATAGTTAAAAGAAACATTTTCAATTTATAGTAGACAATATAGAAGTGAGAGCGAGTCATCAGTATTTTATGAATGTAATGATACGTGAAGAGAAAAATAGTTGTGATAAATGTATGCTAAGTTTTCATTTCTGGTTAAAATATCATTGTGAAACGTAAAAACATCCTGCGTGTATTTTCTGAAATGGTCTATATATAACCATGCGTCCATGCTTTCATGTAATACAGTCCCTGGTTATAATATTCATCACTTTATTTTACAACCTATTTACTGCAAGTATATATGATTTTATTCAAACCTTTTTCAAACTTTTGCTTTCCAGTGTAGGAAAGTCTGACAAATTTTGGCCTCATGGAAGATCCCGGATGAAATGGGTCACGTGACAGAAGCCCCTGTCGAAGCGTGGGCAGACATCTTTTCTTCGCCGGTCGTCAAACAAGAGATTAAACCTAAGGTGCGTATCAAATAAATGATTTGAAGATATCTGATGGTTTATGCTAGCTTGATATGTATTTCATAAGTCAATGCTCGTTTGATTGCAGTTCGATTCTTATGGTTTGCTAGACTCCAGAGGACTCGATGGGGCTTGGCTTTTGACAACCACTCGGCCAAGAGTGTATAGGCAAAAATCCCTTCTATCAGATGTATCGATCAGGCGAGCAAATCATAAATGCACCATTCTAATTGGTCTTGCTTCAATCATTGGAAAATCCTTGGAACTTAAACCGAAGGCTTGGGACCGTTTCAACTCCCAATTGCCACTGAATGAGGGAAGACTTACTTCAAAGCCCCTACGTTCTCGCATTCACCCTATACCGTGGGCCTGTTTTCGAAGACTTTCATGTAATATGAGAGCCCATGATTTGATGTGGAGGTGGTTTTACTACAGGCCTTTGATTGTATCGCATACTATAGTTTTACGGCAATCGGCCAATCCTGGAAATGATGCCCTGTAATAGCATGCTAGTAACAACAAGCACAGGTACTTGTGGAATAGATTTCAGTAGCATTTAAAAATAACAAACCACACACTAGCTGCCGCCAATCAAACATTTTTTTCCTTATTCTATTTGTTGGTTGATTTACTTCAACAACTCTAGAGAGATTCCGCATTATGGCTACCATCGTAAATATGCTGGAAAGTAAAGTTATTGGGGAAATGAGTGGAAATACTTTGTTTACAATATTTAATTGTTTTGACACTTATGCATAAAGTGTTTGATCTTTCCATCACATTGTTTTGAACTACATAAAACATTGCCCAAATGCAGATCCTTGCAAGGATTTGCTAGGATTTGGCATTTTGTAATTTTAAGGACCATGATTAAGGCAAGAATAGAATTGTGGATAATCAGAACCCATACAATAAATAGTTCTTAAATTTTACTGATTAATAGATTATGAGAGACGCAATCAATCATCAGAATAATTTTTTATGTGTCGCTAATCATTGTTATCTAATCCTGAGTACACCAATAGGTATAACCCTCCATCTACATTTTTACCTGTCGCCTACATCAACGAAAAATTAGTCCAAGCATTATCCTACACTACTAGTACTAGTCATTGGACCACTGTACTTTGGGTGTGTGTTGGTGAGGCAGTGTCAATCTTCTACATCACTAATCACAAGCATTTATCCACCAGAACCATTGTTACAGTCCTGTGTGGTTAATGGGTGACTGTAATTCGCCAAATTGTCATATTATGTAGAACATTCCAATTTTTGGGATATGTGTAATATGAACAAAAAATGGTTGAAGGCTAATTTTTTTTTTTTTTTTTTTCAATATTTCATGGCATTGACATACAGAGGAACACCTCAATTGGTCAAAAAGATATCAGAATAATTTGAATGTACATGTGCTTATTTATCTGAAGAGTTTTGGATTGTGTTAAAATACGTTATGGGTAAATCTAAGTAAATTATTTTGTAACCAACATATTTATATCATTGAAATGAAAATGGATTTTACTTTTCACAGATGCCGTTCCCGAATCAAACAACAACAAAGCTGTATATTGGAAACTTGCCAGAGACTTGCAAAAGAATTGAACTACAAAAATTATTTGAACCATTTGGGCAAGTTGTGGAGTGTGATATCGTTAGAAACTATGGATTTGTAGTAAGTTGTAGTAACCACTGTACTCTTTGACAGAATGAATGTTTGTTGTTTGTATTTTTTTCAAGATACGCCGTGAAGTAGTGAAATAAATTTATTTTTGTATAAAGTTAACAAAATTTGAGTGAAAATCAGAAATTGAAGTTGCATCAATGTAACAAAAAAGGTCAACAAAGTACATTTATCATGAACATACAGATTGTATGTAGACTAAAAATACTTCATTGTAGCATACATGGGCATGAGAGAAAAAAGAAAAAGGCTTGTACAGAAAATCAAATCTCTGTTTAAAAACTTGTATAAAAATATGAAAATACTGAAAATTCACATAAAATCGCTAGACTCAGTAAGTTATGATAAGGAACTCAATAGATAGTATTTCGATATAAGAAAATTTGCATTAATATCTGTATCATTTTGTATGATGTAATCAGCAAAATGTAATAGAAAAAAATTAATAAGGTCTTGAAACATGTTGCATTTTGTGGTGCAGGTGCTGATTTATTAAATATGTTAAAAAAAAAATCTTGTTTTGAAAGATAGTGAAACAGTTTTAACTCCATCAAATTCAAGAGAAATCTGCTCTGAAGATATCTGAATAGTTTGGGGATAAAACAGCTTTTGACTTGAGAGATATTAAGATGAAAATCATTGACACATTTATGTTGATCACACTCTAAGTGCATTAATTGTTATTTGCTTCTCTTTCAGCACTATGCAAATGCAGATGAAGCGAAAACAGCAGCAGAAAATTTAGATGGCACATCCTTTGAAGGATCAACATTAAAAGTTGAGGTACATATCAATTAACGAGTCTGAGACTCGGAGGGATGATTTTGTTAAAACAAATGTGTCTGCTTAAAGGAAATTTCATGTTGCTCATTATTTATGGTAGTCTGATGAAATTAAATGTTTCAGATTTATTTTCTTTTTACTTTTTTTTGCTATAATTATAAGCATTTACATACAATTACATTGTTTAAACATATACATGATTCTTAGCAGGTTATCAATTTGAAGTGTAAAATGTAGCATGTTTTCTGACTATCTAGGTGTCTCACAGTAAAGTACGACAAAAGCCTGGAATGGGGGGTAAAGGGGAATGCTATAGATGTGGAAAGGAAGGCCACTGGTAAGTATGAACTCAGAAGTTCGTCTAGCTGTTGTGAAGGAAATTTTCAAAAGTCTCTTTTAATACTGATAGGATATACTGTGTACCTGGAAATTTTAACTCTGTTTTATTTTATCACCTTTCACTTATAGACAGGGAGAGCAAATTTAAGATGGAAACAAAAATTTATTATTCTTATAGTAACCCATTTATATGATCCTCAGAGTGCAAAATGAACATGAGAGGAATTTGTGTACAATGGTACAAGGGCAAAAATAGCCAGGGGCGAAATATCACGGTATGCAGTAATATCCCAAGTCTGTATCATATCTAAATATTTTCCTTTTTGTGTTTTAGTAGAAAAACACTTGCACTAATCCAAGCGAAGTATTATAACATTTTCTGTTTTCTTTTTGTTGAATTTTTGTACATTTCACTTATTTTTCCAGAAGAAGAAAAAAAATTAACACAGTGATGTTTGAATGGCTTTTTGAAATAACAGTTTGTCCTTCACAAACTCAGAATTTATGTATTTGAAAATCATATCAGATACTCAACAGTGATATATATATCTGTAATGAGTGAGACACCTACAATTGCATTCAGCAATTACTGCCAAAAACTAATAATACAGCATTGTTCCTAGTCAAAGTGATCAGATTTACAACATTTTATAAATATAAGGATGAAATTCAAAACAGAAAATTTGAAATGCCTGTTTTAAATTATCAAAGTCGCTGTGGTCAAAGGTGTCTTGGTTAAAATTCCGATAGGCCTATCAAAGCAGCTTAAACCTAAAAAGATTCAGGTGCGTCTAAGTTACTTTGGCCAAAATCTTGAAGATTAACTTTATGATGTTACCATCACAGCTGCTTTTTCCAATATCTCTATAACATTCTGATGAAAGTGTTTTGAAGTCATTGGTAATGTATTTGTACTAGAAAACTGAAACTGAGGTTCTATAAGGGTCAAGCAATGATGTCACTACATACAACACAGAAAATATTGGAGTTTCTGGTTGCTTTTTAGATTTTAATATCTTTAGAATATCGAAGTGATGAAAAATTTTTATGACAAGTGTTATAGTTCAATCATAAGAAACCTTGAGAATTTGTACATGTCGAAGGATTTTGATGTGTTCGTAAAATAAACAGGCAAGAATTGAAGTAAAGGAAGTGGAGAAAGGGAAAAAATAATTATTTTAGACCTTTTTTGTACCAAACTTTGTCGTAATGATAATCCCAAGTTTGAAAACTTTCCACTGCAATGATTTTATTCTATGAAAGTGATAATCTTTAGTGTTTGAAATAGGATGGTAATAATTGGCATGGAGATTCTTGAGAGGTTGTACAGAGTTGGTATGAAAATAAATGAAAAAAATTGGGTTTTAGATATTGGAAGAAAAAGAAAACATTCATATTATTGTTCACTTGGAATACTTGTTTAAACCAGGAACATTTTCAAATTTTGTTGAAATTTATGAATATTTCATGGAAGATTCTTTTTATCAGGTAGTAAAATTAAATGGTAAAGGAGCTTGATGTTGCTTTACGCTCATTTCTTTGTAATTTACAGGTCCAAAGACTGTCCAAAAGGACCGTAAGTACACTACTAGTTTTCAGATGTTGTCAAAAAGTATTTTGGTTTATAATTTACAGGTCCAGTAACTGCCCAAAAGGACCGTAAGTACAGCAATACTCTATCACTTTCTTTTCCTGTTTTCCCTCTACCACAGTATTGTGTTGCTCTATTCAATATACATTAAATCAATATAGGTCAATTTAGCTAATACTGAAGTCACAGTTATAAGAGAAATGTTCCACTATGAAAAACCTTGCTGTTGACTCTGTTTTCACGATGTAATTAAATATTAACGGAAGAAAGTTTTTTTCAAAATTTTTGTGAATAGATTTTATTTCCATACACTTCAACATGTATATAGGTTAAACTGAGTAAACAATTAGTTACTGGACCTGTTATTGGAAATAACTGGTACAGTTTCATGAGATTAACATCTTGTTGCAGAACACGTCCAAAAGGTCCCAGGGCTCCACATGATCACTACAGAGATCCCTATGCAAGGGACGCCTACGATCCATACTACAGAGACCGTTACCCTCCTCCACATCCTCATGACAGATACAGACCTTATGCAGATCCATATGACAGACGGCCACCACCACCAAGGGACCCATACTACAGAGAATCCAGAGACCCTTACGCAAGACCTCCACCAGAGTACTACGGCAGACGTTCTCCACCTCCATCCAGGTTAGGACTTCCTTGATGATATTGATGACTCTGATTGTTTACTGGTATATTAATAGAGCAACCTCTGAGGAAAGTTTTATATTTGAGAAACCATAGCAGATATGACAGTAGTGTCATGTTAGACTTAGAATATCATGTTTATACCCAACTTGGAGTCTCAATGCCACAAATTCTTAATGCACCAAAATGTTAGAAAATAAGCTGTGTATCATTTCACTGCTATATAGGTTTTGTGTTCTCATTTTCAGTCGGGATCCCTACTATGACTACTATGACAGAAGAAGGTAAGAAAAACCTGGAGAAGCTTAGCACCTTTACCCTCATCACTGTTGAACTAGCAGAAAATGTGCAGTTTACTTTTTCTATGGTAAAAAATATTGATTTCCAACAGACTTTGTCTTGTACAAAACTAGTAAGGAACTAAGTGGCAAACTTCAACTGGAATCTTAATTTCAGAACCTATAAGAAATTCAGTAGCAGTAGGTCCTTTTGTGGATTGTTGATTCTGTTGTGTTGAAATCCAGTGTTTCAATACAGGGCTCTCACACCCCATTTTGGGACTGAGGCCCAGAGCCCTTAGAATTTGGAAAAATAGCAGCATTTTCCTTAGAATTGGGAAAACTTGGGGTCTAAATTGGGAAAAAAAGATACCATTTTGCATTGGGAATTCGGCCCCAAATCTGGCAGATCGAGAGCCCTGCAATATAAAATGTACATCTCCTGATTGTGTAGGAAAGTGAGTATCGTGTCATACCCAACTTGTACATGTGACTTCTGTTTATTTACATATGTATATATATCCATGTGGAAGTGCTTATTGTAGATGCATACTTGATAAATACTTTGCATAAAATGATTATTTTTTTGGGAATCAGTGAAGCATCTTTAAAAGCTATCTAAAGGATTCAAGATGTCAAATGGTGTGTTTTAAGTACTCACAAGGAAGAAATGTGAGATCAGACCATGTCAAAATTGTTTTTGCATACAAATTAAAATTGATTGTTATTTTGATTTGTACAAACTTTGATATAGGATATTCGAATCTGGTGAGCTGGTTTGGTGCAGCAGGAAGTGTCCAGCAGAGACCAAGCTTGAGTGGCTTATTGAATGTTATTATTACAAAAAAGTCATTGTGACAAATAATATCCAAAATGGGAACAACTTTATTTAGATGCTTTTCCTTCCCTTCCCTTCCCATGTATACTTACTTTTTCTCTTTATGAATATTGTACTTAATGTCTGTGTAGTTAGGATTCGTTTGAAGTTTTTTTTTTAAACAGGTTAAAAAAAGTCGGATGCTGGTTACCTTGCCTGCATTCTGTTCATGAAGGAAGTTACGCTGGTGGCTCATTTACTTATATCTGTGATTAATGACGATATTGTAGCTATGATGTTGTAACAGATGATCAATAGTATAGTTTGATTCAGTGAATATCATAAGTTGGCCTCCATAGGGGAATTTCCGTAGATTTGGCAGATTAATCAAAATAATAGATTATTAATGCTTTAGTTTACACGTGCTTAAGAACGCTATGCTCGTGTAGTGGAGTTATACATAGTCATTTGTCTGTTTATTGTATGCAGCTACCCATTGCCTCCACCTCCCGGAACGAGTCGTGGCATGTCGCCGCCATCACGAAGCCGCGTACCGGCACCTTATTGAACATCAGAATCACAGAAAGCCGCGGATGAACGGAGAAGCTAACGGATCGTTAATCGCAGGGCGGCATGCACATCATGTAGTGAACAGAACAATCGAGCAAACTGGAAAGACGGACAACATCATTTTAAAAAGAACGCTTCTCAATTTTCCAAATAAGAGAACTCATTGTGAACATGTCTTATGTATTTTATCATACAAGGAATCTCGTGCTTTGAGTATAGGGGTTCTTTTATCTGTAATGTTAATTTATATCGTGTGTGATCATCGCTATCGTTCCATTTATTTTGCCATATCCTTAATTATGACAAAAATGAAAATCGTGTCATTCTTCATACTTCTCATAGATATGTCCAATTGGAATAAAATGCAACAGTGTAGCTTATCTCTTCGCTTTTGTTATATCAATTTCTATTTGGATTAATCCAATGTATGAAGAAACGGGTCGAGGAAATGCTGCTTTTGCTTAACAAATGCCACGAGTCGCTGATTGAGGTGCAAAATACCACGAGTCGCTACAGATCAACAGTTATTTGGTATGCACTGATCACATGTGAAGGTAATATATTGAACCTCGCGGCCACATATCCAATGCCTTCACGCGAGCCGAGGTTTTGCTTGGGTGTTACAGTTGAATCTGCCATAATAAGTTGCTACATGTATTCGATTACTTAATCAGTTTTGTCTGATTACTTTCGGCTTTAACTTCTGAACAGGTAATCTTTTACCAAGATTTCGTCCGTTATTGTTCATATGGAAAAACATTCCAATAACGTGGATGGCCCAGAATTAATAGCATACGATGTGGACTTCTGCCATAGAGTATTATTGCAGATCCAACAGAACATGAAATAGTAACCTATTTACAGGTCAAATCATTTCTTCATTCAATTATTTTCCAAATTAGATATAACTTATTGACAAGTGACAAAAGATATTTCACTCCATTGCTTGCTAGTTAGCTCACCTGGTCGAAAAGGCCAAGGGACCTTATGGTATACTGCAGCCTCTATCGTCCATCAACTTCTTGCATTTCAATCTTCAAAATTGCTGGGTCAATTTTGACCACATCCAATGTAGAACATTAGGACATATTGATCTAATTAAGAAAAGAAATAACTGGTCTGTGCCCTCAGGGGCCTGTTGGGCAGGGCTCAGGTTAAAAATGGTGTCATCTTTAGTAATGACACACTTAATTATAATCATCACAACTCTTTGGAATTAAGAAGTTTATAGTTCAGGGGTCAAGTGGTGGAGCAGGATCAATGTTGTCTTATGCAATTCTTTCCATATTTGAAAAGTTGATATTCCCACCAACAACCATATATAGCATTGTTTGGAATCAAGAGTTAAACAGAATCATGATGTTAAAATAGTCCTATGGAGTCTTTCCTCCTTAGATTCTGGGCAATATCTTTTATAACAGTTAAGATCCCCATCCCATAAACATTTATATCATTGGTGGGCATAAGAGACATCTACAAGTATTATGCAAGAATTGAGCCGGAGGTCTTGCCTCACCCCTAGGGAGTCAATTCCTGAGCCATAACTTTGAAGATTTCAATCCCACTGATTGGCATCAAGAGATAAACACAATTGTTTTACATATATAATACTTGACTCGGAGGTCTTTTCCCAACCCTTAACTAGGATTTAGTTCTGTAGTTTAAGCTGGGCTTAGCCATAACTTTGATACCATTGCTCGGCATAAAGATCAAGGTAACTGATACAGAATCTGTTGGTCTTCTGTTTACATTATGATCCAGCTGAAACAGAGACGTCTAAAATGTGGGCTTCTACATGGATGGCACCAAAATGATTTTTTTATGACATATTGTTGACTACCTTTCTTGATGCTTAGTTTTGAAAGAAAAAAACGCTTTGCATTGGTAATGTGGCCCATATTCAGCCCCAAACTGCTGAAAAATATCCCAATTGCATTTATGTATTTTCTTATCTACAGGAAAAGAACCACTTCGATATTTAACACAGTCAATTAGGGTTTCTTTGTTCACTTTAGTATTATTCTTCAAACATCAGAGAAATTTGATGAAACAACTTTTTCACAGACATCCCTAAACTGTAAACTGAATGTTTTTTATGGAATTGATATATGGAAAATTGCATTTGCTAAGTAGTATCTTCCAAGATCTCCTTAAAACAAGATAATTTTAGTGACTCAAGTGCCTTGTTAAAGGCACCTTCTATTTCATTGTCACTACAAAAATTACCACATAAATGTTTGTATATATACACCTCAACCTTTACAGAGTACACACTACATACTGGTGACTTTTCTCCCAATGGTGATTTATGTCGCCTATGATGTTCATAATTTTATATCATACCGACTACTACAAAAGTCACCAGGGTTAGAAAAGTCCGCTCGTCTAGACGAGTCAAAGCTACTTGCATGCGAGTGATTTGTTTCAGCTACTTGTCCGGCGGGCGAGTGAAATTTATAGTTTTAGCTATTAAATATTCCATAATAAATTATGTTTGTCAACTTCAACACTCTTAAAACTAATTTAAATCCACTGATAGTCGATCAGATACATCGATGTAGTATCCATGTTTACACCAAGTGTCAAGACTCTGGCTGATCCAGACTACGCGAAAACCTGTTACGTCACCACAAATGTTGCAAACAAGATTGTTTTGTGTACGTAGTTACTTTCAAAAAGTCGATGTTCTCGCTCGCGTTAACAATGAATTAAATAGGAGTAAAACAATAAAAGCAAGTGTTGAGTTCAAACATTTGATATAGAAATTGATAATAAAATTTGTGTTCCTTAAATTATGTTTTGTCGCCTTTTTTCTTCGGATGAGTGAATGTTACATTCGGGCAAATGAATTTCAAGTTTCACTTGCCCGACAGACGAGTAGCTGAAAATTGTTTTTTCTAGCCCTACAAGTATAGACCATCTATTGATTTGAAATTCAAGTATAATGAATGTGTATTTGTACAATCTGAATGTGAGTAAGCAGAACAAAATGCTGTGAGATGGCCATTAGTGTAAGTAATGGTTTGTAGGTTAGGGTTTACAGTCATGAGAAGGGAGGGATAAAGGAAAGGTTATATGTGTATTGAAAGTTTCGTCAGTAGGTTTGTCATCACTGCATTCAATTCACAAAAATTGCAGTATAATTTCATGGTTTATTTTTTGCTTCTTTTTTTGGCTCATCAGAGAGAATGGTTGACTGAGGGTAACACGTTGAAAGACAGGAAACTTGTGCTCAACTTAAACCCTCCATTTGGTCTACATGTGAATCCCACTTTGGATTGACTGTTCATGCTAACACCTTAACTGATGTTAATCCTTGAGGAAAATGCCTGCCATATTAATGTAAGTGATCAGTACATATTTTAGAATTACATGTATAGATGTAGTACAGATTAGAAACAACATTGTACAATTCTTGCATTCCCAGATAAAAGCTTTTTCATTTAAATCTATGGCTTTCAAGTAACCAATGTTTCAAAGAATGGTAAAAGCTCATTTTTGAAATTTTCTTTTTTATTTTTATGAACTGGTATTTCAAAGAATGTATTCTGTGTTGTTTTTTTTTTTTTTTCAGGAATAGCCTTGCAAATTATTATCTGAAGACGTGAATATGGCTAAACAGCATTTAAATTGTTGTTTTAAATCAATGTGTACCTTATACAAAATAAAGTACATGTGTAAAACATTTTTGATTGGGCATCATTTGTTCTTCATGTAACACCAAATATGGCACCTATCCATCAAATAAGCACCATATTTTCAAATTTCGAAGGTATCACCGACATCAGATAAGATGTTTATTACAGCTTCACAATTTTTTAAAACTCAACACTCACACTGCAGGGGACATTTCAAGATGATGGTATATACCTCACATATGAACTCCTAAGTCCCTGAGTGATATTCTGCAGTAGAGATCTCGTGATGAACATTATCTAGTCACAAGGGACAAATGATCTAAAACTACCAAATTTTGGTGCAATACTGAATGTGCAGAGGGGACAAAGTTTGTGTCTCCTGCGTTCACACATTTCATCTCTGGACATATTAGCATATATCCAACATAAAAGGGCTAAGTACACAACCTTGACTTTCATTAGATATCTTCATACATAAATTTTCTTGAAATTGCTTCTTTGTAAAGATTTCTGATAAAGCTGTTTCAAAGTAATAGCAATTCCCTTTTTTCAGTTTGAATACTAGAGGATTCAGTTTCTATCTTGTTTAGTTTATTGGGGGCTGCTAGTTATTCAATTTACCTGAATTTAATAACATCCCCAGATAACCTAAACAGAATTGAAATTTAATCCTTGTATTTATCAGGGTCAGATGGGATATAGGGATATGCTTCTATCTTTGTACAACTTACCACTGTCAACCTCTAACAATTTAATTCCTTGACAGATTTTGATCAAATTTCACTCACTTATAAACAACTATATGCGAAAATTTACGGTATTATGTGTAAGATAATTTCAAATTTTAGGGTTGTGGAGTCATCATTACTATATTTACAAAATCCTTGTCAGTACACCAGCTTCATTTCTTCAGAAATTTCCGTCGAACTTTACACCAATTTCCATCAAACTTCAGTTCATTAATGGCATCTTTTTATTGTGAAAAAGTCCAGAACAGTGAGTGAATTTACTGTAAGTTACGAAATTGAGATAAAATTGTCTCAAACGTTTTGCCAGTAACTGTAAAATTACACACTTGTAGTAGTAAAGTTTGACATCTTCTTACCACAGAACCACACAGAGGACACTTCATATTTACATTATTTACACTCAGTCACTTCTTCCTAATTTGCATAATAAATTGGAATAATAATGTACTTCCACTAGATCTCAATTATGTTAATAAAATGTTTGTGTAACAAATAAACAAGTTGATGTTACGCTGTCAATTCCTCCATTGGTGGTACTATGTGTTCTGGTAACTTTTCCAGTTCATGCTGAAAAAAAAAAAGTGAACTTGAACGCATGTAAAAATTTCCTATGACCATCACTGACAAATCCTAAGGACATAACAAAATTATACGATTATCTATTGCAAGTAATAATTCCACCCCCAAATTTTCTTTTAAAAAAGAAACCAGTACAATGAAAACACTTTAAGCAATGCTATTTAAGGCTTCCTACCTTGGTAACCTTCATTGCCACACCGTGGGGCAGATTACGCTGTATATACTCAAGGAAAGTGTTGGCTGTGGATCCTGTTAGTTTCTCCAACTAAAAGGAAAGAAATAACAAATATATCAATGTTTACAGTTAAACATAGGTCATCATTTGCATCACATCACGTCTCTACAATAAAAATCTACAAATTGGTATATGATATATCATTGCAAATGACTACTAAATGAAATTCTTTCTAAATACGTGTACATGTAATGCTATACATTTTCGTATAGAGTGAAACCTCCCAGTTAAGACCACTTTGGGAATTGGACATACCGTAAGTGGTATGAGAAGTGGGTGTGATCCAGCAGACAGACTTGTCTAATGGACAATTTCTTCAATGTTTTTACCTGCTTTAAATTAGTATGTATGGTTTCAGAATATTAAATCTTCAGTAATCATGTCTGATTTGTGAGTTTGACAGCTCAGTAAAGTGATCTGACCACTTTGCAGATGTACACAGTGGTATACACACCTGGTAATTGAGCAGTGGTCAAGTAGTATGGTGAACTTTTTAAAAGCTTGTCTTAATTGTGTGGGGGTCTTAAGAGTGAAGCATACAATACAAAAATATACACAGGATTATTTCAGAGGACTGATACAAAGTAAGGTGGTTTCACTATATTACATATACTTCAAAGTAATTGTCATTGAGAAGAATAAGAAGTATTTGATGCCAAATTAAATTATGACCATGTATAACCAAAGTGGAAATCGATTGTAGCTATAGTAGAATACTATATTCCTGACCTGATGATGATGGAAACGGTAGCCATACTGTACCTACCAAATTCAGATAAAGTGGCAGACAGGAACTAGTTAGATGAATAGACGTTACCCTGGGAAAAATGTTGTTACCTACTGACATGTTAGAATAATTAATAAAAAGTGCTGTTACATACTGACGGACAAGATTAACAAAAAAAAAGGCTGTTACATTCTAACAAGTTAGATTAACCAATGAAAAGTGTTGTTATATCCTATCATGCTAGATCGATGGACGAAAAGTGTTATGATGTACACGTATTTGAATAAATTAGACTCCATGCACCTGGATTGATCACCTGTTCTGTAGCTTTTACTGAAACAACTTAATAGTATTAGTTTATATAGATAATGCAGTGGAGTATTGAAACTGGATGTCTCTTGTTTATTTAAAAGTTTTAACACATTTGAACTCTGCAACCTTGAATATGTATCATGCTGATTTATTTAAACTGGATTTGTAGCACTTCATGAAAGCGTACTGCTAGCCAAATATAACATTCTGTGTTATTTGTAATATTTAACACATTTGACCCTGGTGAATTTGGAAGTGGATAACAACTTATATGAAAAATGTGTAGCCTTTCATCCCAGAATGCTTCAGGTCCAATATCTTGATCTCAGACTTCTTAATTATTAAGAAGTCGCTTACAGTGGTAAATGATGTCAGATGGATGAATGATGAAGATACTTTGCTATGAATGGAACTACAAGTACTTCATTAGAAAAGTCAACAACCTATTGAAAGTGCTGTTACATACCGACATTTTGAAATATCTATTCAGAAGATTTGTTACATTGATGAAATGCAGAACAAATTAAAAGTATTGTTACATTGTAGACAAATTAAAATAACACAATATTTACCTCTATGACACGGTAGTTAGTTCTCATTTCATACTGCACCCTGTGTTTACCATAAATGTGAGTTGACTTGAGAAGAGAATATTTTGTGATCACTTTTGGTGGTGTATAGCTGTAAATCAAGAAATACAAAATATAAACCCTGAGAAACATAACAAAATGACAGAAAAGCTTTATTTATAACAAAACTTTGTAGATTTACATATCATTTGTTGTACACAACGTCAGAGGGAAGAGAAAGGAAATGAGCACCAAGGATTCAGTGAAATGGACTTTGACCTGGTCTAGAAGTAATAAACAGCTTAGCGTCAAATCACTTCTAATTTAAGAGAGAAGGTTTTCCTACAGAATGAAGTTCAAATCAGGAAAAAATTTTATGATATCCAGCCTCCTAATATATGTATCAATACCCAAGGTGGTTTGTGTTTCTCGAGAAAGTTCGAAAACACAACTCAAACAAAAAAACAAATAGAAATGAAATGAAAAAGTAATAGTTTGTGGTGATTTCAATTTGGTATTGAGTCCAGATTTAGACTACGATAATACCTATAGAAATATAAACAATGCAGCTGGTAGGGATAGGGTTTTAGAAATTAAAGATACATATGATTTTATTGATATTTATAGAGAACCCAGATACCAAAAGATATACATGGAGAAGAAATAATTCTGTAAAACAGGCCAGACTGGACTTTTTCCTTGTTTCATACTGTCTGTTATCTAGTGTTAAAAAAATCAATTATTGAATCTAGTTATAGATCTGACCATTCAGCTACAGTTACAGTTTTACAGTTAAATGAATTGGAAAGAGGGAGGGGTCTATGGAAACTTAATAATTCTTTGTTGTGTGATCCTGAATATTTAGATGTGGTTAAAAAATGTATAGAGAATGTTAAGTCACAATATTGTTTGCCTGTCTATAATATTAGTGCTATTAAAGATATTCCTGATAGTGACATTCAGTTTCTGATTAATGATCTATTGCTTTTGGAAACTTTATTAATGGAGTTTAGGGGCAAATCAATATCTTATGCTTCATATGGAAAAAGACAACAGAACAGCCAAGAGGAATAATTAAAGAAGTTGATAGAAAGTCTAGAAGCTAGCATAAACCCAGAACAGGAAGAATTAGGTAATAGAAAACAAGAATTATAATCTTTACGATTGAGAAAGATAAAGGAAGTTTAATCAGATCACGCGCAAAATGGATTGAAGAAGGGGAAAAGCCTACTTCCTATTTCTCAAATTTGGAAAATCGAAATTTCACTTCTAAAATAATTCCAAAATTACAAAAAGATAATGGTGACGTGATTACAAACCAGGGGGATATTTTAAATGAAGTTAGATTATTCTATGAAAATTTATACAGTTTAGAGAAGTTGAAGCTGTCAATTTAAATTATCATCTTCAGGGTTGTGGAGTACCAAAATTAAGTAACACAGAGTCTAAGAAGGTTTGATCACTAGAGAAGAGGCAGGTAAAGTTTTGAAATATATGAACAATAATAAGAGTCCTGGATCAGATGGTTTCACCCCTGAATTTTTTAAGACCTTTTGGAAATTTATAGGAGTATTTGTTGTCTGTTCAATAAATTATAGTTTTTTTGTTGGTCAGCTTTCTATCACTCGGAGACATGGCATAATAACCTGTATTCCAATGGGAGATAAACCACGTCATTTCTTTAAAAACTGGAGACCTATCTCTTTGTTAAACAGTTCCTAAAACATAGCTTCTGGAATAATTTCTCATAGGATAAAATCAGTTCTAGGAAAGCTTATAAATGAAGATCAGACAGGTTTCTTATCTGGGCGCTATATCGGTGAAAATATTCGTACTCTTTATGACGTAATGGCATATACTGAAGATTTAGATATTCCAGGAATGCTCCTTATGGTCGATTTTGAGAAAGCTTTTGATTCTGTTTCATGGGATTTTATTGATAAAGTTCTCGATTATTTCAATTTTTGGGCGGAATATTAGGAAATGGATAAAAATTTTGTATACTAATATTTACTCCTCAATTAATCAGGGAGGTAATATATCTGCCTCTGCTGACATCCATCGTGGTTGTTGTCAAGGCGACCCTACATTTTTATTTTGTACGTTGAAATTTTAGCAGCAAAAATCAGGACAAATAACAATATACATGGTATACAAATTGATAATGTATCTATTCTTAATATACAGTATGCAGCTGACACTGGTCTTATACTTGATGACTCGGAGAACTCACTCAAGGAATCAACTGTTGAACTAACTTTTTTTTACTTCAGTCGCCTACAGCGCTGAAAGGGTTAAGAAGGCACCTATTTTTGTCTGTATTTTCTTATTTATGTCAATATGAGCCATGATGAAATGTAATGAAGGTCAATACTTTCCAATGCCTCCATTAAAGGTTGAACCCTTGACCATTGGTTTACTAATCTTATATTAGCTAATTACAACCCAAGAGAAAATCTCCTTTAGCAAAGGTTTAGAAATTTAAAGTGACAATTATTTCACAAGGGTGACAAGTTTTCAGTGGTAAACTTACATCTTAACAAGATTTATGTTCAGAAATCTGGTAGCCATCTTCACAAAAGCAGCATAACTATTTAAGACAGCAATGTCATGACCTTTCACCTCCAAAATAATTTTGCGGTAAAGTTCATCTGTCTCATCACTGTCTGTAGTCTGAAAATCAAAAATTCAATGAAAAGAAATGGAAAAAATCAAACTGCATTAACTTGTAAAACAAATTTACGAGGTAGATATCAACACAGCAAAGAGTTTCTTTTTACATAAAAAGCTTTTCTGAGCTTTAAAATAACATGCCAAAGCAAATAATAAATTACATATAGTATCATAGACATTTATTCATTTGTTTTAATGACCAAAAAAGACTTAACAGACATAAAGCTTAACATTTATGCCATGCATGAGCAACAGACATTATAAGAAGAAATAAAAAAATCACCATGTTTTGTTGTGTTTCCTTTGTATTTTCAGGCTGATAATCAGTCTGTGTGACCACCTCGTAGGGACCTACAAACACAAAACCTTATTCAATAATATCTAAAAAAAATCTTAATTTCAATTTCTGAATTTCACATGATCAAAACTAACTCTCAGCACCCGCCATTGTATGATCTATTTTTCAATTAAGATTCCCTGCCTTTCCTTTTCTCATCTTTCTTATTCTTAGCTGTTGTGATTTAAATATTAGTTGTTTTAAATGAGCGTGTGGTAACATTAATCAATAAATGAAGCTCTTATATGAAATCTGATAAATGACATTAACATGATTTCCAGTAACAATTTTCAGATGTCAAAATTCAAGATGGCCAAGTATTGAAGAAAATATAGCCCAGGTCACAATGACCTACTTTTGGTACATTGCACACTGCCTCGCCTACACCCAGAGAATACTGTTTCAGATATAAGACAAGAAAAGGTGTGGAATGAATGATAAACATCAGGCAAACATTTAGTCCTTTCCACTTCCCTGTTTTCCAGTGGGGGGAGGGGTTAACATTTTTTGTAAATGGGCCAATACCCAATCTGCAAACAAACTGTTAATCACTTTTATCTTAATTTGGAACCATGTACTCTTAGCACATTCTTACCGGGTCCCTTTTGTCTGGAATCTGGTTTCCAAGGTTTCGCCTGAAACATAAACAATATTTTTTTAATTTTAGACTCTTTACTATGATCATTATCAATCACTGCATATATGTTTCATTTAGTACTGCATTCAAAGGTTTGAAGACTTCATCATTTGACATCAACAATGCAATTACATTCGTCATATGAACAATGTAAAACGACAGCTGGAGATTGTGCTGAAATCATTGCACACAACTCATGAAAAAAGGGTATTTATCTAAATTCTACGCAGTTTGGTTCTTCAGTAAAATTGAAAAACAAGAGGCCAAGTAGCCTCTACAATCACCTGAGGTTAGCAATATTTAACATTTTAGTTATTAGGCTAAGTAGCTTTAAAGTGTTACGAAAAAGAAATTGCAATACTGATGATAGTTCGACTAAGTGATATGAATTAAGCTCTGTGGGTTGGCCAGGGTCAATATGTGCATACCACTGAACTGTCATCCGATACTATCAACCAAGTTTTAATTATTTCCAATAGAAAACGAACAAAATTCCCCTGGGGAAGAAAATGTGAGTCCCTATGTCGTAAAATTCTAAACTTTAGTAAAGCACTTTAAGACCTTCCATCCACTAAGAGTATTTGATTTTTATTTTTGAAATTTGAGCCAGTTTGAGCCCTTGGGGTCAGCCAGTTAGCAATATTTAACATTTTATACCAATAATTCTAATCAAGTTTCAAATATTTTAAACGTAAATTAAACAAATTATGCGAAAGAATTTAACCTTACCCCCTTCCTCAGGGGGAAATTTGAGACCCTTGCATCATGAATTTCACAATTGTGGTAAAGCACCTTAATACCCTTCTATCTATGCAGAGTGCTTGACTACCATATCTGGGCGTTGACCATTGAGCTAAAATTAATTAAAAATATGAAAATCTTTCTGAAGGTGGTCAGACAAATTGTGTTGTCAAAAGTGAACAAGAGGCCCATGGGCCTTAACGGTCATCTGACAAAAAGCAAGCCAAACCTAGAAAGTGGGTTGAGGTCATTCATTTGAACAAACTTGGTAGCCTCTCCTCCAAGCATCTTACAGGCCCAATATCAGCACTCATGGACTTTTGTTGTTAAAGAAGTTATATTTTAACATATTTGAAACCTTGAAAGTGGGTTGAGGTCAAAATAAACTTGCCCAATGCTAAATATCGACTCAATTTTCATTATATAAGTCCTTTGTATATTTTAACATATTTGACCCCTGTGACCTTGAAAGTGGGCCAAGGTCATTCATTTGAACAAACTTTGTAGAGCCAGCATGCTATGGGCCAAGTATTAGCCCCCTAGGCCTTCTAGTAAAATTATTTAAAGATTTTGACTTTAGTAAAGTTGTTCACTTCATTTAAGTAGCCTTTCCTCCCAGCATGCTACAGACCCAATATCGGCACTCATAGACTTTTGCTTATTGAGATGAAGTCCTTTTATATTTTAAAATTTGAGCCCTGTGACCTTGAAAGTGGGCCAAGGTCAATTTGGCCAAACTTTGTAGGGCTCATCAGCCCTTGGGCCAAGTCAGCCAGGCCTTCTAGTATTTGAGAATTATTTAAAGATTTTGACCATCACTTGTTCAACTTATACCAAACTAATTCTCCCAGCATGCCAAGTTTCAAATATTTTATTGAAAGAAGTTGTTTAAAGATTAAACAAATTATTCATTTGAACAAACTTGGTAGTCCTTCATCCCAGCATGCTACAGGCCTTATTTTAGTTGCCTGGGCCTTTTGATTACTGAGAAGAAGTCCTTTGAAGATTTAAAGACATTTGACCCTTGCCTTGAATGAAGGTCAAGGTTTCACAAACTTGGTAGGGTTTCATCAAAGCAAGCTACAGGCTAAATATTAGTTGCCTGGGCCCTCCAGTTATTGAGAAGAAGTCGTTTGAAGATTTTAAGACATTGACCCCTGTGACCTTGAAAATTAATTAAAAATATGAAAATCTTTATGAAGGTGGTCAGACAAATTGTGTTGTCAAAAGTGAAAAAGTTGATCACACACAACAAAGGGTTGGTAGATATAATCAATGGAATGTGCTTACATGCGCTTACTGTCTGGTAACCTCAACCTAATCTTTGTGCATCCAGATATACATTTTGTTATTTTACAAATGGTACCATCACACATGTACATTTTGGCACATATTACCTTAATAGCAGTATTGTCAAAGGGGGTTGAGCCTTGCAACATACTGGCAGCCACCTCCATCTCACGTATAGAGCCAAAATTCTGAAAAAGAAACATCAATATATAAACAACAAAATTTTAAATGGTAAAGTTTTTAAATGCAGCAAACATTTTTATCTGAACATCTCCACAATTATGAGTAGCTTTCCTAAGATTCTCAAGACAATTTGGATATGCCTTTTTAAAATCATCATTTCTGTTACATGTATGACGCACAACTCACAGCAAGCCACACAGATTTCATATTGGTATCTAGGACGTCCCCATACGGTTTACAAAGCTGTTCCAGTTCTGCTGCCTCCCAGCCTTCTGGTACATTCAGGACATGCAGCATACTTTTGTTGTTACCAACCTTCAAAAAAGCAAAAATCAAAGTTTCTTTGCAAAAAAAAAAGGTTTAAATATAAATACAGAAGTCAGGAAATTGTGGAATTGCCGGATTCTGGTTTGTTTCAGAGCTTTTCACTGGTCTTGCTGAAGTTATTTCTGTTAAAATATGTTCACACACTATTTTTGTGAACATCATGAAACAGTCTCACTCTTACAACTTAAATACATCTAACCTGTAAAAAGTCTGTAAAACAAATGTATGTATTCACAGATCGGAAAAGCAAACATTGTATTCTGTTTCAGCATTTACTATCTTTAAATTCGGCCCTTTTCCCACTATAATTTTCATAAGAGTATTATTGCTTTTGCATTTTATAGAGGTGAATGAGTTCATTAATACTAATTTAAGTAAGCAATATCGGAAATTCTAATGGATAAGTAATATCACTTATTTGTAGAGGCAATATCAGTATCATCCCTTCTTAGGTCAGGTAACGATTATAGTGACATTTTTCTGGTTCAGGACCCGCCACTTCTACTAGGTGAACCTAAACAATAAGTTCCAGTGATTTGTGGTGTAGGAGACAGAGCCCGAAAAATTGTTTCCCTTTGATGGCGGTGAAACGGGGGATAAAAGTTGGTCACAGTAAACTACTTTTGGCACATGACACACTGTCTCTCCTTGGTCTACCAATACCCTTGTATGAAGTTCCAATGACAAGTAGTGTAGGAGTTAGAGCCTGACAAGATAAAGCGTGGTTACCAATAGACAACTTCAATTTTACCTTGTATGCATCTGAATTCTTTCCTTCTCCTCACTGCTAGGTGCTAAATTTCATCAGATCTTGCCAATACAATCATATCTGAATTAAGATATGAATACCTGACACACAAAAATCAGTAAGGCTATGCATTAAACCATATGCAATTCATCACAAAATACTCACCACTGTCTGCATCTGATATCCTTCAAACACTATACCATTCAAGTTATCTGCTGCTAATGCAACCATTTCAGGTTTAGAAAATTTCTGAAAAGATTCAATACAAAATTATAAAATTCTCCATATATATACATCATTATCTAGTAATATACAAATTGCAAATTAAATAAATGAATTTTCAAGCAGAATATACCATGTATGTTATCAGAATAATTTATCCTGAAATATACACTCAGTCATTACAATACACAAATATCCTGTAACATACACAGTCATTCCATAAAATACATCAATATCCAGTAACATACATAGTCAGTCCATAAAATACATCAATATCCAGTAACATACATAGTCAGTCCATAAAATACATAAATATCCAGTAACATACATAGTCAGTTCATAAAATACATAAATATCCAGTAACATACATAGTCAGTTCATAAAATACATAAATATCCAGTAACATACAGTCAGTCCATAAAATACATAATTATCCAGTAACATACATAGTCAGTTCATAAAATACATAAATATCCAGTAACATACATAGTCAGTTCATAAAATACATAAATATCCAGTAACATACAGTCAGTCCATAAAATACATAATTATCTACCGACATACACAGTCAGTCCATAAAATACATAATTATTCACTAACACACAGTCATTCCATAAAATACATAAATATCAAGAACATTCAATAACATATAAAAATATAAAGTAACACAAACCGTTAAGTCATTAAAATACATAATAAATCCAAAAATGTACAATGCTACAAGTAACAATATTTACTTACAATTATAGCTGTTATGCCTTGTTTTTGGCAGTCTGTTGCACCATGTCTTTGTAGAAACTTTTCTACAACATCTTTGCTGATCAATTTGGGCATGTTTTCAATTCGAAGATATGGGTATTTCTGTAACATATCAAAACATACAAGGCTCACAGTTAATACCAATGTTAAAAAAGAAACATAAGACTGAGATTTAAAACTACTATTAACAATGAAACATGAGACTGAGATTTAACATCACTGTCAGAAATTAAACATGAGACTGAGATTTAACATCACTGTCAGAAATTAAACATGAGACTGATATTTAACATCAATTTTAGCAATGAAACACGAGACAGATTTAACATTGCTGTGAACAACAAAACATTGCCATTATTGTCAATGTTTCTCAGGGTGAAGCAACACTTACATTTTGAGAGGAGGCTGTTGATGTAGTACAGGTACGGCAGAAATTAGTGAGACTGAAAAAATGATGTGGAAGAAATGAATTAATGTAAAATGTACCAATTGTCTGAAATGTAAATTTCTAATCTACAATCTTATATATAAGCCATCTTCTGTCAATATAATTTGGCAACTTTTCAATTTCTCATCAAATGTTAATGCTTCACATTAAATGTTCACAAAACTAGAAACAATAGATATATCAACATACAGGATTTCCAGATATCTTCATGGTTGCTTTCCCCTCTCAAGTCTTTGCTTGTGGAAATTCCCTTTCAGTAAATTTCAATTCATTTTTTCATATATTTTGAATATGTTATATACAAAATGAAATGTCATTTAATGGGCAATATCAGGTAAGATTTCATAATTTCAGAATTCATAAAATTTACCTATAGGAAGCTGGATGTAAATGTTGATAGTTCATCTCATTATAAAAACTGGTAAATGGTCTTGGTGGATGGGTATCTGTCTGCTTCAAACCCTAAATAACACAAAAGTAGCATGAAATCACAGAGAAATCTTGACAACCACCATCATATGATCATTATTGGCTCCATGCAATTGGGCCCTTTTCTCTTTATTTTCTTATTATTTACTTATTATTTGTTGGTTAATTTGTACATTTACATGTTTACTTGTGTAAATCATCCTAAGAATACACAACCCTAATATCATGCCCCTAGGCCTTTTAGTCCATTTTGCTTGTAATATGTTCCCTGCATTGTTTGGTGATACACTTATTGATGTTATATCATTTTGGATTGTTTGTGAGAGATTAATAAAATTTCAGGCATTAGAGTATGCAAGACTATTGTCCGTTCATTACAAGTAAAACAATATGGGGTATACATGTAAATATAAATGAATAGCCATTCCTGAAGGAATACAGGATACTTATTTACATGGTTAACGGGAGGAAGCTGTAATTTAGATAACGAGTTTTCACATTCTGTTATTGAGCAGAAACCTTTTTTGTAATAAACCTTCATATGAAGTTTTAAATTAATAAACGAAAAATTACTCATGTTATTGAGGGGAAACCTATTTTGCAAGTGTATCAAGGGACAAAACTCTGTAAATTATGGGCAAAAAATTTTGGTTATCAAACTTGCCTTGGGTTTTATGGTAATTAATCTTCATGTGAAGTTTCCAATTAATCTTTAAAATAATTTCACAAGTTATTGAGAGGAAACCTATTTTGCAAACGTATCAAGGGCCATAACTCTGTAAATAATGGGCAACAAATTTTGGTTATCGAACTTGACCTACTTTTATGGTAATAAACTTTCATGTGAAGTTTAAAAATAATCTGTAAAAAATTATTCATTATGGAATGGAAACCTATGTGCAGCAGCCCGCTCACGTAAAAACATAATACGTCCTGTCTTTTGACGAGCGTATAAAAACTGCAAGAGGAAATTCAACCAAACACCAGAAATAGTTTCCTATGACAAAAAACATTAGTTTTACCAAGGTGTGGCCATGTTGTTTACATTTGCCCTATGTTATAGTCATATTTGACTTACATAGCCAAATGCCTGTGTGAGGATTGTCCACTCTCACACACTAAAGAACCCCCTGTGACTTTGTAAAAAGAGTAGGCCTAATTAAGCCAGTCCAGGGGTCTAAGGATAGTGTCAGACTACACAATTATTTCTCAGACATTAGACAGACTTCAACATTATCCTAACACAAACCAAAATCAGATACGCCCCCAACTCTTCTTTTCAGCTTGCGGACACGTTTCAAAAACTAATATAATAAAATGATCACCAGTACAGACGATTCTATACCACTGAGGGGGATGCAGGTCTCCCCTTCATATCGCCAGAACACCGACATTCGTCAGTGAGACAATACGCGGACATGGGAGAAGTCGCTGATACGGAAAACCTGTCAACCAACCAATATATCCAATTGTGCCTATGTATAATGTAGCCATATTACCGGCACTCCGGTACCTGGTGGATGTCTTCTAGGTCAAATATTTTGTAAAGGAGCGAATATTTTGTTTATTGTGTGTGTGTGTTTTTTTTTTCAACGGGTTTTACGTCCACTATTATGACCCTTCGGTCTTTAAGCAGACGAATGGAGTAATGCAGAAGCTGAGATTATATATCGTCTTGATACAAGCCTTGACAGGTGGGAATTTCCCTTTCAACATTATTACTACATAAAACACATGACTTGCTGTGGAGGTATTGAGTTGTTTCATACATGTGTTTCGAGTTTATGGCGACTACACGATACTTACGCTCTGGTATAGTGCGTAGCGTGAACCATTTATCTTCAATCTGCTCATACATCGCCTAAGCGCAGCCATCATGGCGAATCGTGCGTTTCCTCGTTCCTGCCATTCAGTTATTTAATTCTAAAAAGATTCTTTAAAGGAAATTTAGACAAAATTATTAGTTATCTTTTCGTCACTGATATTTATTTTAATTCCTATACTGACGAAATAATATTTTTAGGAAATACAAAGTAATTATTAGCTCCGAGGCAACGTAACCATAACAGCAAAAAGCTTCCAAGATGGTGGGTTTATTTTCATTTTTCTTGTGCTCAGACTACACAATTTCTATAGCTGCATTAGTTATGTCTATCTTTAATTCTTTCAATGTGCTTTTTTAGTGTATAATGTGGCAATATAGTCAGGCCATTTGCCTGAAATAAGACAATAACCCCCCGCCCTGTTTACAAGTTTTACAATCCAAAACGTGACGCTTGCTATAGCTAATATTTCATATAGACTGTTAGACTGTAGTATGATGATGTTGTGTTAGTGCCTTCATAATGATGATGAATTTTTGAAATGAGGTATTGCTGTATCTGAACGTGTTAATGGATTTGTAAGTCCTTATGTGTGCCTTGTCTAATAAATGTGTTTTCATTAAAAAAAATCTTTCAAAAATTGAACAAATACAAAAAATATATTAATACAAACGTACTATGGACGAATTCACTTGATAACAGGCAGATTACGTGATAAAATCAGAAAACAAATTATTTTTATTTCAGCCAATCAGAACGTTGTCTAAATTGTTGCAATAGTGTTTTGGGAAATTTCGGGAGTGGAATTGCACAGAATTCTTGTTGATGATAGCTTCATATATTTTTTCATTATAGAGTAGTAAGGGAACTACCATAAAAGAGGCCTTGGCCAAGTGGGTAAGTATGTCTACTGGTGTCAGGATGTAATATGTATATGTAATTTGAAGACTTCCTACATAGTCACACAAGCCTTATTAGTTTCCACCTCTTAACAAGCAAGCTCTTTGGGGCGAGTTTTTCTTTTTACTGATGTTGACAGGACAACAACAGGAAGCAAAAATTGATAATTGACAGTGGTCATTTTTAAATTTTGACATTGAAGTTTGTTACTATGGAACAATTCTTTTTGAAACTTATGACAATCATCATGGTCAGTATTCAGGTTCTACTTGTGTATGTCATATTTGAACTTTTTTAAGATATTCAAGTTAGTAAGTATAGCCATAACTCAAGAAATGCCAAGGAGATATCTGTCTGTGTTGATCATGTTAGTTATCAGATGATTCTTATTTACCGGTACTTTCATGTCTATTGAAAAATTTGTTTATTCAATAATTAAAGAACAGATCAAACTTACTTAAAACTAAAAGGTCATCTGATTTTGAGCCAATTATATCCATCCTTACTGAACATTTTTTTATTTTTCATCTCTGCAAGCAATTTTTGGAAGATCTTATTACTTGAAGATCCTTGAAGTTATTTGAATGATTGTCATTTATGTGATTTATTAGGAGGAAAAGAATGGTTGTAAAGCATGTGATGGAACCAAAGTGGAATTGTATGGACTTTGTCCACCCATTGAAAAGATGGATGCTTCATTGTCTACCTTGTCCAAGTGCGAGTATGTATTTCATTGTTTGTAGTCCATTTCATGTATAAGTGAAAAAAAGTTTTTGACTTGTTGATTTAGTATATCATTTAACATTTATGGAGCTCTGCTAGAATACTCCTGTATCCACCTAGGATTCCTGCACCAACATATCTATCGATCAGTACCACCCATGGGAAGTTGGACCCCTCCACCCCCTTTTTTTATTTTTACACATAGTGTATCATTTGATCAATCTCAGGAGTCCTTTGTCAAATTAGGGTGTAAACGTGCAGGTTTTAGAGAGTCAGGGATAACCCTAGCTTCCTGAAAAAGTACTTTCACTCATACTACAGGATGGCAAATATCAGTACTTAGACTTTACATGACGATTTCTGAATACTCAGACAATCGGTCAAAAGAACTGATTTTGCTGTTTCTGAAGCATTTCTTGCACCATTTAAAAAAATCTCGAAACTTTGCATGTGGATCAATTTTTTTTCAATAGTGGTGTCTTATACTATGTGTTTTTTCTCATCTTTGTTTCTCTGATATCATGGAAATATAGATCTAAAATCAGTCATCCCCTATATTTTTACCACAAAAACTGTTGAAATTAATCCATGAAACTTAAATTGTGCAGCAGTCTGGTGATTTAATGAATTAGGTCGAATATGGATAGCCCTGATAGAACAGACCATCTACCAGTATATCATTTGGTAGAACACATTATACCAGAGATTTAGATGATTAAATACTGCAAATAATATTGGTCACAGCAAACTTCAGTGATTATTTGTTTTTTTCTCAAACATCCTTACAAATAAACTCTGGCTTTTGTAAGTATTTTTTACTCTGAAAGAGCTCTGAAAGAGAAGGGTCATATTTGTGGTAAAATACCACATATATATATATGTATTTGTATTTCTGAAATAAAACACAATATACATGCACCCCCTGCTAATTGTCATAGTCTCTCTATTTTGCAGAAGACTAGCTCTTTCCACAAACAGCATAGAGAAGATTGCAAATTTGAATGGTTTGAGTAAGTATGCTGTTTAATAGTTATGCACAATATTTATCCTATAGTAAGCTTGGGGCTTTTTACAGAATATCATGAAGCATTGGTTGGTTATTCATATATATATTGTATCAGTCACATATATTTCCATATGTCATTTATATAAACACTGACTATCCATGTTCTTATCAAGCATTTCGTAAACTTGACATTTGAACAGTTTGGTACAGTTTCAAATCTAAATGGCCACATACACCAACCTTTCATTAATCCAGATTTTATGATTTTGAAAAGTCTATCTGAAATCATACATATTACAATTGCATGTTTTTATTCTCTTGAATTGCTGTATGTATCAGTCTTAATTGTACAAAATGTGCTTTCCACTTCCGTACTCCTTGTTTGTAATTCACTGACATGTCTAGTTTTTACCAGAATTTTATACTGCTCTTGCATTTGTTTTCAGAGTCATTGAAAATTTTGTCTTTGGCAAGAAACAATATCAAATCCTTAACTGGTTTAGTAAGTGAAATTTTATTTATATGTTACATTTCTAATCAATTTGATGGACTGAGTTTAAACAATGTTTTTTTTTCTCATCAACTGTAAAAAAAAAAAAAGAAAAAAAAGACAAATAAAAAAGTAAAAACGTAGGGTGGTACCATGAATCTATGCATACCGACTTGGTTTTTTTCCCAATTGATACATCTTTGTTGGTCAAGATTTGCACCCTGGAAACCAAAATTATATCTAAAGTGGCAATATATAGATATATTTATTATGTTTGTTGTACTGTATATTTATTGTAAATTTGATGTATTGGGGTGGTGGTAGACTTGTCATTCTTTACTCCCTGATTGTTTATACAGGAAGCTGTTGGAGAAACGCTTGAGGAGCTTTGGATATCATACAACGCAGTGGAAAAACTGAAAGGAATCAATGTACTGAAGAAAATAAAGGTGAATCTACTTAATTGCTTCAGAATAGAAATTATGTCAGGCTCTCTTTACTATGGGGTTCTTCCTTTGAATGTTACGAAGTAATAGATCTGATTTATTCATTCTTTTGATTTTTACCTTGTAAGACAGGTTTTGATAATATCAACTTTTCCCTAATGTTTACGATAACTCCTAGAGAGGCAAAACAGCTTATATATGATGTGGTTTAGTTCATTATTTAACATATCTAACACAGATATACAGAGTCAGATCAATTACCTATCATATGAAAAAAATGTACCTAGGTTATTTACTGACAATAAGCCCATTTCTAGTAATAAGTCAGCCCATATCAACTGCTATTTTAGTAGACTCAGTAGCAAATGTTATTTCCTTGATTTGCAATAACCTTACCTCGACTTCCAGTCAGAATTTGTATGTTGACCTTAGGCTTATTTTAGGAAAGGTTTGGCTCATTATATGGGCATTATCACAAAGAATACACACCTGACATCTACATTATAATATAGATTTACGACCAGGCACCTACATGTTGATATAAATTTACTATCCATATACCTACATGATATATATTTAATTACCAGAGACCTACATGATAACAAAGATTTACTTACCAGATACCTACACGATAACAAAGATATACTTACCAGATACCTACATGATAACAGAGATTTACTTACCAGATACCTACAAGATAACAAAGATTTACTCTCCAGATACCTACATGATATATGTTTACTTTCCAGATACCTACATGATAACAAAGATTTACTCCCCAGATAATTACATGATAACAAAGATTTACCTACCAGATACCTACATGATAACAATATTTACTCCCCATATACCTACATGATAACAAAGATTTACTCTCCAGATACCTACATGATATATGTTTACTTTCCAGATACCTACATGATAACAAAGATTTACTCCCCAGATACCTACATGATAACAATATTTACTCCCCATATACCTACATGATAACAAAGATTTACTTTCCAGATACCTACATGATAACAAAGATTTACTCCCCAGATACTTACATGATAACAAAGATTTACTTACCAGATACCTACATGATAACAGAGATTTACTTACCAGATACCTACATGATAACAATATTTACTTACCAGATACCTACATGATAACAATATTTACTCCCCATATACCTACATGATAACAAAGATTTACTCTCCAGATACCTACATGATATATGTTTACTTTCCAGATACCTACATGATAACAAAGATTTACTCTCCAGATACCTACATGATAACAGAGATTTACTTACCAGATACCTACATGATATATGTTTACTTTCCAGATACCTACATGATAACAATATTTACTTACCAGATACCTACATGATAACAATATTTACTCCCCATATACCTACATGATAACAAAGATTTACTCTCCAGATACCTACATGATATATGTTTACTTTCCAGATACCTACATGATAACAGAGATTTACTTACCAGATACCTACATGATAACAGAGATTTACTTACCAGATACCTACATGATAACAGAGATTTACTTACCAGATACCTACATGATAACAAAGATTTACTCCCCAGATACCTCCATGATAACAAAGATTTACTCCCCAGATACCTACATGATAACAAAGATTTACTTACCAGATACCTACATGATAACAAAGATTTACTTACCAGATACCTACATGATAACAAAGATATACTTACCAGATACCTACATGATAACAATATTTACTCCCCATATACCTACATGATAACAAAGATTTACTTACCAGATACCTACATGATAACAAAGATATACTTACCAGATACCTACATGATAACAAAGATTTACTTACCAGATACCTACATGATAACAATATTTACTCCCCATATACCTACATGATAACAAAGATTTACTTACCAGATACCTACATGATAACAAAGATTTACTCCCCAGATACCTACATGATAACAAAGATTTACTTACCAGATACCTACATGATAACAAAAATTTACTTACCAGATACCTACATGATAACAAAGATTTACTCTCCAGATACCTACATGATATATATTTACTCTCCAGATACCTACATGATAACAAAAATTTACTTACCAGATACCTACATGATAACAAAGATTTACTCTCCAGATACCTACATGATAACAAAGATTTACTTACCAGATACCTACATGATAACAAAGATATACTTACCAGATACCTACATGATAACAAAGATTTACTCTCCAGATACCTACATGATAACAAAGATTTACTTACCAGATACCTACATGATAACAAAGATTTACATACCAGATACCTACATGATAACAAAGATTTACATACCAGGCACCAAATTATGAGATTAAGATAAGATAGATGTTTTTGGTTAATTATACATTTATGCCAACATTATTTAAGATTGCTACAAATAATGTTTTTTATCATAATTTTGCAGGTACATATAGGAAAACTCGGTTGTGCCAAACTTGATTTAAAAAAAAACACAAACACAAAAAACAGGATATACACAAAACAATGTACTGCATACTGCAGACCAGCATTCTGTATCAGAAGTATTATAAAAGTCATATTGTTATTTCTGTTAACAATCTTGGCACCATCAAATTTTAGTGCAATGTCTATTTTGAACAAATAAGCCCAATGATGAATTTGATTGGGCTTATTAGCCATATTTGCCTGCAGTATCTTTAGTGAATAAAAAGCATTAAAATAAGATTACAGCTAGAATATGTACATTTACAATACATTTGATGGAAGATATTTAACAGAAAAAGTTTTGTTAGTTTAAACTTGTTTGGTCTACTTAAAAGTTCAGCATGCCAATGATTTTGCAATACATTGCTGTTGTTTTTAGTTGTTGGCCATCAAAAGGTAAAGATGCATGTATTGAAAAAAGAACATAATTCATTTACTCAATCTTTTCTCCCAAACAGAAGAGGTTTTAAATTTTACTTGGTCTGGTAAAATTCAACAGATTTTTGATCCATTATCATTTTATTAATTTTTCCAGGTCTTGTACATGTCAAACAATGCTGTGAAAGATTGGGGAGAATTCGGCAAATTGGTGAGTTTAGTCACTAATATATACATTTAGTACATTTAATATTCATCCCAATCTACAGAATGATAGAGACTTCCTCTGGCAAGAAGCTAAGTGCAAATAGGTTATTTGGAATTATTCGTTATTTTGGATACTGCTTATCTCGATTTCGTTTTCATCTCAAAATAAATATAAGGAATGGTATTGTAAAAATTGAACTTTGACTGATAATTGGTTTAAAGTAAGTAAATTCTCAAAAAATAATTTTCAAAAAGTAAGTTAATTGTATTTTATATCATATATACTCTACCTTGCAGTGACTTCTTCATTGAATTTTTCTTACACAGGGTGAGCTACCTCTGCTGGTAGAATTGGTGTTTGTAGGTATGTAATGAATTAGCAAAATTTGGAGGAAATATTTGACAAAGATAAATGGAGACAAATATTTATACAACCATTCATAATTAGTAGAAATACAAAGTTACAATGGCTTCAATTTAGAATTAATCAACACATTTTCACATCTAACACACATTTATATGAAATTGGTCTGACTGATAGTTCATTTTGTTTCCATTGTAAAATTGAAAATGAAACCATTGTTCATGAACTTTGGTATTGTAAAGAAGTAGAATTTTTTGTCGTCTAATTATGAGTCTTTATTAGATGTGTATTTGATTCCATTTGCTTTTAGTAAGGAAACATTTATCTTTGGTTTATATGATAGAAAAAAACAGTGTGGATAACTTAGTAATTCAAATCTTGAAACTATTATATATATATACAAGGCCAGAAGTATGCAAACTACTTTGTCCATTTCTGCCCTAAAGAACTTAATTAAGGATATGTATACCACATTGTTGTCAAAGGCGAAACTGATCTGCTGAACTTATAGAAAAAAGGAAAGATTATGAGAAACCACATAATTAAAAGATAAAAGTCATATAGCTAGAATTGCCTAGTCCACTGTCTGTAATGGTTTTAGGTAATCCATTGGAAGAAAAGCACAGTGCAGAAGGGGACTGGAGAGATCTAACAGCAAAAAAGCTTACCAAACTGAAGAAACTGGATGGTATGTTTGAGGACACCTCTTCGAGTCATTTCCTAGCATACTATTCTATGGTGATATGTAGAGGAATATTAATGAGTTTGACAATGTACAGATAATTACTTTTAATCAATTTCTGACAAATAATGTAGTAAGAAAAAATGTGCTCTCATTTTAGGTCACCTGAAACAGAAATTTTCTAATTCTGTGAAAAAAAGCACACAATATTTTATTTCAAGGACATTTTGTATCAACAAGAGAGAAAGTTTGGGTTGTGAATTTGTGACTGGACTAAGGCTATACCTGATAATGAAATGTTGTGTTCATAGTTTCTTTTTCTTCCATGAAAATATGTTAATATGAAAGCTTATCTTGTAAACAGAAGTTTGGCATTATAAGTTTCAAGAAAACAATTTCAGAAAATGGCATCCAGAGTAACAAAAGAACTTTTGTTTGACACGGATTCAATTAAGGAAAGATGTAACCTTTTCAAGTGTGTGAATTATTACGGCAGTTTTTACTATTCTTGTTTTAATAGTAAAATTCAAATGATGTGAGTTACAATTGTTTTTATTGTAGGAAAGTTTTTAGCATGTCAATTACATTGTTTGCAACAGAATCTATGAAAACATTGAATCTACCCTCATAGTACTATTGAAGATTTTTCAATGGTCAATTTAAGGTTTAAGTAAGATTTATTTTTGTCTTTTCAAGATAAGTTATGATGAAGTTTTATCACTTTGATATGCTGATGTTCTAATTCTAATTGACAGGATTGCCTATAATCCGACAAGAAGAAGATGAAGACTGAGGATTTCAGGCAAACATCGGGATATCATATCGGACATGACTCAGCCTTTATTCTGACGGACAAGAATGTATTGAACATTATTTTTGGGCTTGTATCATTGTATCATCTTCATCGATCAACAAACAGTGATTTAATTCACTTTCATTATACTCTTTGGCCTGAATTGGTTTTTTCCCATGATGACCAATTATAGTTATTGTCCCATGGAAACACCTGTATGCATCACACCAAGCAATTGGAGTTATCTTCCTCTAGATGTCTGTAGATGTCTTTCAGACATTTCCTATGCAGCAGATTTCTATGAAAAGCCATCCAACATCATAGAGGAACTATTTGATAAGATATGCTATGGATTCAAATGGGTTTTTTTGTATATAAATACAATGCACTTCTCTCAGTCAAAGTACTAAGCTGAATATTATATATTTATCTATAATAATTTATTTAACAGTAATATAATTCAGTTCAACAGTTAAACAGTACAAACTGCAGAATAGGAAATAAAACAAGCATGTAGCTAATATCAATCCATTTCTATGTCAATAATTCCATATCTCTATAATTTAAAAAATTTCTCAACCCAGCTGAATAAAGAGAATTCAGAACCAAAAGAGTTTTTGTTGCCACTATCAGCAGTGTATCACAAGAATGTACAAAGACTTTGTACTTGCAGTCAACATGTAGCACTGGTAAACATTGCCTTTTGTTCTATGAACACGGTTTTCTGTTTAAAACAGTGACTAGATACATGGCCAAATGAACTGTATACAAAACAATGTCGAAGTTATTTTTATATTGTCAACATTGGATCACAAACCCTAATATGAAAAAAGTAGAGGAATTTTGAATTGTTATTCAATACATTGTACAATGATAATTATTAGTTAATAAGTAAAATAATGTGTTACCTATAACATAGTTTGTTCTTTTTGTCTATGCGTTCTTGTTCAAGCAAGAGGCCCAAGGGTCTTAACAGTCACCTGAGCCACAATGCTTCTTGTAACATGTCATATAAATGATTTTGTTAAAAAGTAATATAACTAACTATATTATACGCTTAAAGCAAATGTAAATTGGGTATAAATTAACTACTGTCCCAAGCTAAGGCTTCTAACCAAGTTTGAATGAAAAGATATTACAATCACTCAAGATTGTGATTTTTCATACCTGGTATAAAAAATCTTCCATCCAGGAACAGTAGAATATCTCCGAAATTGCAGTCAATTTGACCCATTTTTGACCCTGCTAATCAACCTCTGGGGGTTAGTCAAGGTCAGTATGTGCATATCATCAAACTGTCAGCTTACATTAATAACAAAAAAAAAAAAAAAAAGAGGTCCACAGGCGTTAAGGGTCATCTGACTATAAAAACCTGTACAGGAAAGACACCAAATAGGCTTAAAATAAATTGCTCAATTACACTTCAGCTTACATAGAAGACATTGGTTGGTTCATTAAAGACATTTTCTGCAAACTTGAAATCATATTCTTTATACATGCTCTACACAAATGCCATTACTCCAGACATTGCTTGTTGAAAAAACATGCTACATGCCCAATATCAAGATCCTTAGCCTTTTGGTTGTTTAAACATTTGAACATTTTTGACCCGTGTGACATTGAAAGTGGATCAAGGTCATTCATATTTACAATTGTGGTAGCCCTTCATCCCATCATGCTACAGGCCATTTATGGGCACCCTGGGCCATTTGGTTATTGCAAAGAAATCATTTAAAGATTTTAACATATTTGCCCCCGTGACATTGAAAGCGTGCCAAGGTCATTAATATTAGTAAACTTTATAACCCTTCATTCCATCATGCTACAGGCCTAACATCAGCACTTGGGCCTTTTGGTTATGGAGAAGTAGTTGTTTCAATATTTGAACTTATTTGACCCCTGTGACCTTGAAAACGGGTCAAGGTCATGTATATACAACCTTGACAGCCCAAACTTCAAGCATACTTCAGGCTAAATATCAGCACCCTGGGCCGTTTGGGAGAAGATGTCATTTAAATGGAAAGTTTACTCACAGTGCACGGCAGATGGTGCATGACAACAGGCGAAACATAATGGCTATAGGTCACCAAAATCTATTCAAGTTTGAACTTCTGAAAGAAAATTAACAAATCATGCTCAGAAATGTAAATTTGCTATATAAAATACAGTAAATGTTACCCCTTCCACAAGGGTAAATGTGACACCCTGGAGTCATGAAATTTACAATTTTTATAAAGCACTGTAAGACACTTCCATCCATGAAATGTATTTGGTTCTACACTATCTGGGTATTGAGAAGACTTGAAATTTTCATCAATTTGACCCATTTTGAACCCCATCCAACAGCCCCTAGAGATCAGTTGAGGTCAATATGTGCATCTTATTAAACTGTCATCTGAAACTAATAATTCTAACCAGGTTTGACCTTTTTCCAAAAGAAAATAAACAAATTATGTTCAAAATGTAATTTCCAATATAAATAGTAAATTTTACCCCTCCCCTTGTAGAAATGCGGACCCTGGGGCCATGAAATTTACAATTTTGGTAAAGCATCTGAAGGCTTTTGATCCATTAAGAGTACTTGATTCTATCTTACCTGGAATTTTGAGATTTTTTGCAACTGCAGTCTATTTGACCCAGTTTTGGCCCCGACCCTATAACCTTTATATTCAATACTTGCTTACCTCAGGTAACCTAGACCTCTTGTTCTCAAATCAAATCTTCAAATTGCACAGGACTAACTAGAGACCACAAGGAATTTCTAAGTTGATATAAATCTATTTTGTGCACCTTAAGATTATAAGCTCAACTTTCAAAAACCTGTGGTCATCCTTTTGCTTTTTTCTGATCAATCTCACAATTGAACATTTTGTTTGTTATCAGTGTTTAGATACATGCATGTTGCAGATGACAAGATGATAAGACATGTTGGTGGAAGGTCAGGTTTAATGATAATTTGTGTACATAGATATGTATAGTAAGCAACTGCACCAAAGACATGAATGGTACTGAACTTGAAATGAACCAATACAACACATAAAGTACACCAAGTAATAACTCAGAACAAGGTATAAAACATACTGCTCTTTTGAGCCATTTATTTGGTAAAAATATGTATGTTAAAGAATTTGGTTCCAATACTGAGATATAATAGAGTTAATGACATCACATAGTGAGTAACAGATGAAGTCATGTATTACAGAGATGAGAAAGCAGACATGTTTTAAACAGTAATACCAAATTCTGACATTTGTCAGAACAGACATACTAAGAAATCTTTCAACCACAACAATAAGCTTTCACACAAAATATTGTGTGTTCAATGATACTAAATAGTAAGTCTGGCTGGAACCATACAAAACAAGACTTTTATTCTGAACTTAACAACCCATTAATGTATTGAGGTTTTTATAACAACCAATGTTTTCTTACCAACTTTATTTCTGGAAAGTGTTCTAAATTTATGTTTCTGATCTGATCCCTTATAATATCACTTATTCCTATGTACTAGGTACATATATTACACAGATTGGTTAAGGTGTGTGTTTTACACAGATCAATAGGAATGTGAACCAACAAAACTATGTAACTGGTCAACAGAATGTGTGTAGCACATATGTCACACTGGATCAGTCTGTGATGTGGACTAGAACAAGTCTATCATACAGACTAGAACACTGTGTGCCACACTGACTATCCCTGTCTTCGATACAGAATAGGACATGTCAGTCCACCTTATATTACAGTATTGTGTCGGTAACAAGGATGTAAAACATGGAGAAGTCCTGGTCATAATAGTTGATCGTAGATGAAAAAAGTGATGCTGATAGCCATTTCATAAAATACCAGTACTTTGTCTTGAGGAAGTTTCAAGAGACAGTAAATTGTACTCACTTGCAATACATCTTGGAATCTCAGAAAAAATCATCACCGACACATTTTAAAGATAAGCACATGTTCTCAATGAGTGGAAGTATACAGAAATATTCAATACAAGAATATGTATAACAGCACTGGTAGCTGATACCAATGGTAAGTAGGACTGGACAAATAATGACATGATTAAAATGTACATATATCAAATGAGATTGTTATTTATTTAACAAAAAGCACTTCTTTTTAAAAATCTTTCAATCTATACAAGAATTATCAATCTATTATTTATAATACTTTACAACAAACAGTTCTGTAATAACTAACATAATGGTGACAATACTTCATGATTGACAAAACACATAGAAATTAATTGATGGTCGAAGATATTCCACAACCAAAAATGTTCAAATATCCTTCATCACTCTCCAAACCTTCTGTATGTGAACAGTTAAGTACGCTATGTACAATATAAAGACATACTTTTGCACATCACCTGAACATGTTACTTGCTCACATCCAATACACACATTTTCAACAAAATATTCAAGAATGGATAAAAATATAGTAATCCTGTCATAAAGTTGACTAATCTAAATACAAAAGCTAAAACTTATCCTTTCAGGAAAATGATCCCCCAAATTTCACCCTGATCTCAAAGGATCACTAACACAGCACAGCCTTGCAACAATATTTTCTATATAGTTAGATAGAAGATTCAGTTAAAATTTAGAGCTTAGAATTATGAAAAATCAACATAAATATAATTTTGTCTGTTTGATGTAGAAATTCACTTGCATCACATCCAAGCAAAAGGCTATTAGTGGAAATGATACAATGAAAAATACTTAAGTAGCTTTCCTTAAAAAGTAATTTCATTTAACATTTCAAAGATATATTGAAAATTTGAAAATATAGAACAGTTTTAATGATTGAAGATAAAGAATTACAACAGAGATAAGAATCATAAGTAAAAGATGACCACAGAAACAATATCAAAATAATTAGGAGTTCCAAAATCAATATCTATCAAGTCTTATACATATATTTTCCCATTTAACTTCTTCATTTTTACACTTTGAATGTGTCTACCAATCCTTTCTAGGCTGATGTAGTCACTTCTAAGTCTAGCAGAAACCTGAAGAACTGTTCTCTCATTAGCAATTCATTTATCAAATTTAGCTTTACAACTTCCAATCTCTCACTGCTTCCAAACCTATAATTTTGTATATGTTCAAGCCAAAACTGAAAGATCTATGCTATCAGAAGTATTCTCCTATTACAAAACACTGGTCACCAGTCATGTGTTCACTAAATGTTTTCCATAACCTCATTAACGAACCTTAGCAACTGACACTGATTCGATGGGAAAAATATCTGGATAAAAAAATCAATTTTTCTTTTATGTTGAATATCACTGGATCAGCATAGTGAAATAGTTTGTGTATTCATAGACACATTAATATGGCAGAACCAGAAATTGAAACCCTGTATGTTTCTTGTGACATTAAAAATGTAGAATGAATACAGTGTGGGTGAAGAGCATTGACTGTTGGGAGATAAGCTCTCTAAAAGGAGCAAATTTATTATCCTTGAAGGAAACCTATTAACAGAGTTACACATACACTACTACAGTTGATGACACCAATGTTGAGCATTGATACAGTTGATTGAAGGCTAAATGTACAAAGGTATGTAAACCAATACCTTTAATATTACAGACAATTATGCAGTTAGCACCAACAAGAAACTTATTTCTCAAATAATATTTATAGGTCTTGTAGCAATACATCCACTCAGACTCTCTATGTTGTTCCCCCCTCCCAAGAAAAAACAAACTAATATACATGTATTTTAGAGAAAAAAAAAGACAGCAGTTTAAACTACAAAGAAAGCATTTACAGAATACAATAATGTGCTTTAAGATTCCAAACCACTGCATTCTTGTGTCAGTTAAGCAATAATACAGATATCTTGTCATAGAAATAATGGACTCAACTCTGTGTTGATGTTTGAACTAATAGTATGATGATATAACACA